AATAATGGCATGAAAATAATTATTATTGCTCAAATACAACTCCCCGTGGAACTACAGAGAAGCGAGATTTTCCTGAAGTTGCCATAATATACGAGTATATAGTGTGAGTGTGTGCAACATGAACATAACAAAATTTTTGCTATAAAAATGATGGTGAAAAATATCGTAGATTTTGTATATAGCCATGGAACAAATGGATGACTGACTAAATAATATGAATATATATTGAAAAACCAAATACAAAGACACGACGCAAGCACATAGAAAAATTCGTGAGGTCCGCTTCTCTGCCGTGGCTTAGTTGGTATAGCGTCTGTCACGGTAAGTTAGAAGACGTTGGTTTGTATCCGGCCGGATCGTAGATTTTTTCTGAGTATTCGATCTTTGTATTAATAATTATAACAAACGGTAAATGGGAGCATGAAGAGCTAAGAATTTCTTGAAACTAACAATAAGGTAGCTGGGGGTTTATATATCCAATAATTATATGAACATACACATTCTTTTTTATTTGAAGGACACTTTGCAGTTGGTCGCTGATGGCCTTGACTGCGCCACGGGAAGAAAAGGGCGAGCTGAAGGCTCATAACCCGTAACATAAACTTAAAGCTAAGCAGCGGGCCTGAGGGCGCCCAAGTGGGTACGAACCTCGGCTCAGGGCGCTACCGGAGACTTCCGCCAGAAGGGCGTGCTAAGGGAGAGAATCTACCACTATACGTGCTGAAATGATTCTTCAATAATTTGGAGCTTATATGAAAAGAGGACGTTATTGAAACTGAAAGGCTTTAAATATTTATCTTAATAATAAAGATCTTCTTAAGCTGAGACATTAAACTTGCATGACTTTACTATTTATGTGATAATTTTATAGCATCTAAAATGATTCTCAATGCTATACTGAATTAAATCTAATTTCTTCAAGGTAGAGTTACATTACCTTCCTGAAGTTAAAAAGCATCGTAATCAAGTACACTCCTTACCAGAGCATAGTATATTTATTTATTAGTCTTAATGAAGTTTGAAGTTGGGTGAGTTCCCCACCAAAACAGCTGATAAACATCTCATTACATTGAACATCTTGCACATTTTGTACCTAACAACATGATCGCAGTGCTCTGACTACCAGAAAGTTTTGAGTCAAATATGATACCTAAAAAAGACACGAGGTTTTATTTGCATTGGAATGTCATCATGTAGGACATTAACATCTGGTGTGACACGTTTACTTAATAAGACTTATGCTACGTCTCTCCATTGGTACCTAATGCTAACCCATTTTCATCTGACCACTATTTCAGTCGATTTAAAGATTTTTTAATGGGACAATATGGGGAAATCCGAAACCATAGGAGATACGAGGAAACTGGCTTGTGAACCATTTACTCCTTTTTAACCTACTTAAAAAAAGCTAGCGGTTCTCAATTCGACTGCTTATGTTTTTTTGTATGTAAATTACACGATAATTCCGGCAGCATTTGTGAACCGATTTTGATGATTCTTTTTTTTTTGTTGGAAAGCTATCGTTCAATTTTATTTTATGTATAATTATATTATCATTAGCAGCATGAATGTCAAGCAATCAGAAACTAAAATACTTATACAATAATAATTGTACTCAATCCTTTCCCAAGATCCAGAGTATTATTACTCTAAAACCATACTAACTACTAGATAATAGATTACTGCTCTCAATGTGTCTACCATTTATAACGACTTTTAACCAGATGTTCCGCTAATATTTGACTAGAATAGAACTCAGAACTATTGGAAGAAATATTGAAAAAAGAAGTCAAAAAGTGTTTTGCTTGGTATTTCAAGAGTCCTGGAAAAAGCTTCGGGAGGCGAGTACTCGAACGAAAAAAAAAATTACTTTAGTAATCACCCTCACAGTCCTGTAAAGCCATGTTTTTTCTTTAGATAAAGTCAAACATTCTATTATACCTGAGGGGCACAACAGCTGCGCACGACTTGTTCGTCGCGTCACTTGATATTATTAAAAAAGACCTCTAATAAGGAGATATAATAGAATGCTTCTCTTATGTCTTGGACATACATCTACTCCTCTCCACCTAGCCAGACTCCATATTAGAGACAGCGATTCATGCGAGTGTGGAAATGATGTACGAGACCTAGATCACATCTTTTTCTCTTGTTCCTGTGTTGACCGATCCTTCTTCCTCCAACAACTCCTGTCCTTACATGCCCTTTACCTACCCGTGAGTCATAGCATCCTTATGTATCCTATTCTCTATTTTAATTTATTGCATTAATCTATTTTAATTAGTAGTTAATATAAAAATATAGTCTTTGTATTATATATTACGTGTAATTTTTGTATTTTTTTTTTAATTATAATACTTCTTATATCGCACTCCTCAGGAAAGAATGGCATAAATGGAGTTACGTTAAACATGTTTATTGCTCCATTAGATACAGATAAATATAACCCCACGTCCTCTTCAATTCTTATAACTATATCGACTAATATTGTAAACAGAGTTACAAGAATTGGAGAGGATATAGGTTATATTTTTCTATATCTAATGGAGCAATAATCGTTTTTGACGTAACTCCACTTATGTCATTCTTCCATGGGGTGTGCGACATATATTAACTCCTTCCAATTTTAGCTTTCCTGATCATGTTTCCTTTCTTTTTTGGTTTTCTTCTCGTTCGTTTCCTAACCTTTTACTTTGACGATGGCAAAAGTATTCTAGTGCCATGTAGTATATAAAACGGAACCAACAGGCAGAACGAGTTAGAGCGTTACTAAGATTAAAAATTAAAATTTTTAATGTGTAGGTGAGAGGTAAAGGACCTTAAGTGAATATTTTAGAATTTACATGTTTTACAAACATTGCTTTAGAATATTATTGCAAAAGACATTAACTGCTCTCGTCTTGTGTTTTATAATATTTTATTATTAGACTTTCAAGATTGATTTTGAACGCCTAATTAAGGGCCTCATTCTCTATACAACGCTCTGTACTAAAAATTACTATTAGGCACACATGGTTCTTTCGCCCCTACAGATGTTTTATGTCAAAGGAGAATATAGGAAACTGGAGTATCTTAATCTATAACTGACTCGTAAAACAATCATTAGGTGCAATTAATGTTATATGTAGAAGAACTTACATTTCAAATGAAACAGGACTAAATATTTGATTAAGAAAATAGTTTATTGATAAAATTTAACCTACTAATTTGACTTCAAATTATAAATTAACAATTCATAACATTAATTTCATAAAACAATTACAACTGGTGGTAAGTACAGAGTAAAAACGAGCAACTTTGTATTTAATTCCTCTATTACCAGTGTAGCAAATTGCAGCAGTCGCTACAAATCTCTTTTTTTTTAGAGTCTCTTTTAAGTTTGCTACCAGGACGCCAGGTCGCCAAAACTCACACATATAAAATTTGAAATACTATGAAGTCTTGATAAAGATGAAGAGAGAAAGAGGACGTGGTTTCAAATTTTAAAAAAGAAATAACAAATTCGACTGTTAATACCATTGACTTACAATTATATGGACGTCGGGTCCGCGCTAAAAAGTGTCCGCACTTGTAAGGCGCTAAAATCGTATACAGAGCGCGACACTCCGCTTTAGTCTTCATTTGTTCTACGGACAGCGCGATACTGCGATGACATAACAATTTAAATTTCGAATAGCTTGACTTGGGACAGTTTTTTCGTGGTTTTTGTATTAGACCCGTCGTCCATTTATTTGTAAGTCAATGGTTAATACTATTTAAACTTTGACTTGTTATTGATGATTAATTTGAGATGTTTACTTACTTTTCCAAAAAAAGAAGCGACTACATCGCAGTGGTATACCTAAGGTTTACTTTCTTGTTGTAACAAGAAAATGATTACGAGAAACAGAAAATTGAAAGTTTATTAAAATTACATAAAAAATGATAATACGGAACACCGTCATAGAGAATATTACAAGTGCGACTCTCATTTTTGCACTCCAAAGTAGCGAAATAAGGCATTTTTTACGATTTTCGATTTTTGCGCGAGATAATTGGCACGACCATAACGTAACAAAGCAAAAATGGTGGACTAAGCTCAAGTTTGCCGAACTCCCCGAACTATTGGCACACAGTCACACAAACTAAGCACTTCTACAGTATTTATTTTGTTCTGTGTTGCGTAAAAAGTATTCAAACGGATGTTACAGACTACAAGTGCAATTAAATACACTTTAGTTAAATGCGATGACTGAATAATTGTACAATAAGCACTGAGAAAATAAATGGTGATAAGTAGTTGGTTCAGAATCTAAAAACAAGAATGTCGGAAGTGCTGTGAAAAAAATACTTTTTGTTTTACTATACTGCATGGAAATGCTTAAAAAATTACAAAGGGAGTCTTTCGTGGTTCATTGTAAACTGGGTTATGCGTGTAGTTTGGAATCCGGTATATATTGTTCACTATGTATGTGACTGGATAGATGTCCTTACAACCAGAGACTGGCGCACTTTAATTTAATCCGCTAATAAGAAAATACTTTGGATACCCGTAATTGAATCAGTTTGGTACGTGGGGTGCTTTGCAGTCGAGTGCCAGATTCGGATTTTCAATGAATACATGCCTTTGTTTAGACGTCGGACTAAAGTGGTCAGGTAATTTAAATGTAAAATAATAAATTACGTTTTGGTTTTGATTAAGTGTTTACTGACAAATCTTAAAGTATTGTATAAAATCATATTATGGCTCTTAAATAATATTTTATATAAATCAAATTGTACCTACTAAAGGAAACAAAATATCTCGGTGCGTACCTGCTCTTGTTTATTACTCGTCTAAATCAATGTTCTCCCAACCCATTTGATTTATGAAACATTGAAGTAAAGTTATTTTAACACATCATAGCAATTGCTATTTAAGTTATAAATAATACTTTCGAGTTTTGTATTAATACATCTCTAGCTTAAGTCCTTTATATTTTAAGCATGATGTGACCACTAAAATTAAGAAGTACCACCCGCCGTCTAAATATTACGAAATAAAATCTTTTGTATTTTTTATGTTTATAAAAGTTATACAGAAAATTATGACAACCGTAATTTTCTGTTTACTTAAATAATATAAAAAATTGAGAATAAAATCAAACACTACATGCAACCTAACAAACTTTAAGAGCAAAATCTTCTCTCATGGAATCTCATTTGAATTAGATTTCAATTCCGGTATGTGCAACATTTCTACTTGTGGATTAGGTACAATTTCGACAGGAGACACCCCATTAAGCTCCTTAAGGTTTTCACAGGAAATATTATGTACCTTTTCATGATTTTCGTCATTTACAACTTCAACATTTTCGCCTTTTATAATTTCAAGTTCTTCATCTTTTACAACTTCATTTGTTGTTTCATTTACCATTTCGTTTGTTTCATAATTTCCATCTTCCAAACTGCACAAGTTGACATTAGCCATATTAAGGGCCTGAATCAGATTTTCTACAGTTTTTTCATCAAGTTTCTCTTCGGTTTCTGCAGTTGCTTCATTTAGATTTTCCCTGAGCACTTGCTGCTCGTCAATTTCCCCTGTAATTTCTTTAACTGAACTCAATTCTTCGACAGAATTCTCGGATTCCTTAACTGAATCTATTTTCTCGACGTCTGATTTTGGCACTTGTTTTTCACCTTTGCTTTTTTTCGATTTTGATTTCTTTTGTTTTTCTGGTTTAGGCTGCTCTTCTTTAGTACCATTTTTATTTGTAGTCAACACATTCAACTGACTTTGCAAATGTGCCAAACTTTGCCTCAATTGAGCGCAATTTGCGACCATGGCATCCACCTAGATAAAAAATTTTAAATGACGTTATTGCATAAACGAAATTTTGCATAATTAACATATTTTCATAGTGACAATGAACATCATTGAATTTGTAATATTGAGTTTATTCATATACTTATCATTGAATTTATCTTAATTACTATAGTTATAAATACCTTTTTATCTGATGGAGATGGAGCAGGAGTTGGGGGTTGCGCAGGACTCACAGGCAAAGGCCCAACAGGTAGCGCCGGTCGTTCAATTTTATTGTCTTTCAATGTGTTAAGTAACACAGTTCGCTCAGCCTGCCAAGATATGTCATGTCAATTAAAAAATATACTTTTTGCTTATTATGCCTACAAAACGACAGTACTAACTTGCAAGATACGACACAAACTCTGCATATGCTGCAGTTGTCTCTGAGTAGCAGTATGTCTCTCCTCACTTGTTTGCCTTTCTCCACACATGTCAAGCAATGCCTTCTGTGAAATCTCCCACCTTTTTTTCCATGATAGTGATTCCTCTTCGAGTTTTCTTATCTTCTTAGACATCTGAAATAATAATTTTTTGATGGGATGCCCGTTAATACTTAGTGAACTACAAAATATATTATGTTAGATTACTCAATTTCAAATTATGAATTTTACCGTGAAGTTGTGGCTTATGCGTTAAGTCATTGTTTTGATAATTATTATTTTAAATTTTTGGTTGTAAACTAGACTATATTTACATAATTTTATTGAATTCTTAATTAGTAAGTGTCTGACATGGGATCAAACTATATTCAGTGCTTGCTAAACTATCCTCTTAAAAATTATCTGTTATTTCAAGACAGGTTTTTAAAAAAATACAAATACAGACCTGTATTTGTCTGTATTTGTATTTATGTATCGTCCGTTTAAAGGTAAAACCACATAAGTGACATTTTCCACAAAATGTCTAATTTATATAGCTATGATAAGAAAATCACTATCTTTCTGCAAGTAAAATTCAATAACAAAAAGCTATAAACACAATAAGAGTTTTATCTGCAGAAAGACTGTGATTTTCTACATAACAGCTACATAATTTGGACAACAGAAAATGTCACTTGTGTGGTTTTACCTTTTAGCAGACAATATATTAATAAATATACACACTACCAACCAACCAAATTTGACCAACTACTGCTATCCCGATTTTTTATTCCCATATAATGAAATCATACTTATAAGAAACTACAAGCATTAAAAAAATTTAGTCAATTTTAAAATTTTGTGTGAAAAAATATTATGAAATTCGAATCTTCAGGTATCCCGATTTTTTTCGTCCAATACAATGAAATGCTCTTTGAAATGGTCATTTTTATGGACAACTCGCACTTGACAAAAAAATTGACTATACAAATATTGTTTCCACAAAAAAGATTTAAAGATTTAATGGTCCCTAAGACAATTTCCTTGTATCTTCTATGGTTTCGGACTTCCCCATACTGTCCCATTAAAAAAAACACAGTAGTATTAATATAGAATTGTTAAAAGTCTTACAAGAAGAACTTCAAGAAATGAGACACTGAGTAAACGATGAAATCATGTTTGTGTAATGTTGCAGGTTACTTATTGTTTGCCCTGTTCAGTTATTTCTTTGTAAATAAGAGAAACTGTTAATGGACTTTTAAGCTAGATTGGCTAAGTAAGAAACCTGTAAAAGTACAGGTAACAAAAAATTTGTTAACCTTGAATATATACCAATTATAGAACTGAATTAAAATATAAGCTCACCGTTTCCATTTGTTCCTTAAAGCCTCCAAAGACCTGGTTGCTTTTGACTAAGGCATTCTGGAACTCATCATACTTGTCTGTGTACACAGCAAGTTGCCCCTTTAGAGCCATCTCAGTTCCTTGAAGCTCCAAGATTTTAGCTTTGTACTGTGCTGCAGCCACTTTAAGTTGTTCCATTTCAGCAAAGATTCTCTCTTTTTCAGCTTGAAACTCTAAATTAGCTTTCTGTAGTTTTGCATCAGCTAACTGAGATTCTAAAGCCATTTGTTTAGCCATTTTGTCGACCTGTAAGAATTAGCAAAATATTTTATAATAATGCACCTAAATTATCTTAGATAAAAGGAGAAGATAAGCTAAAAAATTGAAGCATTTTCAACCATCGTTTCATACTTACTTGTTGCTCTCTTAATTGATATTGTTGGACAACACTCTTAAACTTCTCATTCATGCTGTTATTGTCATCTCTCAGCTTGACATTTTTCTCATTATTTTGTTGCAGCAGAGTGGTGATCTCTGACAACGTGTTCTGGAATTTGGCCTGAGTCTCTTTACGGCGCTCTTCCTCTTCACGTATTTTAAGCAAAGACTCTTCCTGAAACCCGAAATCCATACTATCTAAATACAAAATGTTGAAAACTCAGTAGTAAAGAAAACAGTTTATGTCGCTGTTACTGTACCTTGATAGCTTTGTTTTGTTTTTGTAATTCACGACAGAGATTTTCCAATTTTGATTTAACAAGAATAGTTTTGTTAAATTCATGCTGTAAGTGTTCTTTTTCCTTCATCAATAGAGCATGACGCTTATCCGATTGCTTAATATAAAATCTCAGTTTTTTATTGTCTTCAGAAGCCTGTGAATACTTATTACACACTGCTGCAAATTTCTGGTCCGTACTGGGTAAAGAGTTGAGAGATTTCATAAACTGTTCATAGTTTTTATCATCACTTTTACAGCGATCCTCTTTCTTTGATTTTTTTAGTGGTTTATTAGGTGGTGGTGATGGTGTTTTATCCTATAATTCATGAATACAGTAGTAACATTAAGGTGCCATGAACATGAGGGTACATAATTTAGTAAATAAGCATTGTGATAGGATTCAACTACACTCACTGAAAAAATTATATTTAAATGTAATCTGATAAAGGCTAAAACAGCCAACTAATCACAGATATTGCTGGAGATAAAAAAAATATGCTGTACAAAAAAATTCTCTAAGGTGGCACAGTAGTGGAAATAATATAACAACACAAGTGAGATAAATATGCAGAATTGAATAAGAAGGATTAAACCCACTTGTTACTAGCTTACTTTTAAAGGAACACTTTACTCTAACATTCATTGAGGGTAGTTTAAACAACAATCTTTAGTGTTGACTGTTAAGTTAGGAGTTTTCCATTTGATTGGTTAGTGTTTTAGCAGCATTTGTGAAATATTGTATTCTGTATTAATGTTGAACTATTTAGATTAAAAAACAGGATGGCTAACAAAAGCTTTGGCATAGTAATATTATTACGTTCTACAACCATTTTAACAGTTTTTAATTTGGAATAATAAATTAAACAGTGAATTTTTGTAGTCGAAGTTGGTGTTCCTTGTATAAAACAGTAGTAATATAGGCTACTATTACACTGTTTGGACAAAGCATTCTTATTTTCAGATCATGTCTAAGGGGGCTGAAAATAAATGAAATTATTGAAGAGCTGGAAAATAATGAGGACAGTATTGTATTGATGGCCCAGAACTTAGCCATGCTAATCACGCCACAAGTAGCCACCATACTGAACCGGGCATGGTATATGTTTGCCATCTTGGAGAAAGGATTTGCCAATTAGCGTAAGGTACTCGCCGATTATTGCCCAGAGTGCGCCATATGTACCAGGACTACGATTCATACCTCATTACGGATAGGCTCTTTTCGTGCAGCCCACAAAGACGGTGAGGACATACCATCTTATGTCACAATTTTGCCTCTAGAGGCATGCTGTGATAACTGACGAAGATTCAAGGGAAGAAAACCAAGTGTCTATGTCATCTAATTAGCTGGGATCTCAGTAGCAGGCTCCCGAAACAGTTTACTATAGTGATGATAGTGAATTGTCAAGCAACAGTGACAATGACATGCATCTGGCTCAACAAGCAAAAAAGATATGGTGGTACAAATTATTTCTTTTTTAAGGCACCAAGTGAGGGGATGTATGCTCACATTACTGCTTGGCAGCAGAAATAGGTAAATAGCAGTATTTCCCTGGACTAACTATTCCACAAGAAGCTCTACTGCTTTTACAGTTGGCCATAGTTATGCAAACAAGAACCAACCCACACCTCGAGTGAAATTGAACTATGTATTTTCACGCTTACAAAAGATCCTGGCAATATAAGCTAAAATGGAGAAAATAAAAATCCTTCAGAGTACCAACCCTAAATAAGTAACTTTTTAATAGCTAAAAAGAATCATGCTGCTTAACTTCACATAATGTATTCTTTTAAATATGCTAAATGGAGCCATGTCACATGCACTGGAGCACTGTAGATCTTTAGCGTTTTCATTACAAAAACTAGAACATGGTTCTCGTCAACTAAATAAAAAGATACATAATGTTTTCTTTTATTGCTATATAATATAATAGCTTCCCTATATCATTCTCAATGCTACACATAACTCAGTCTCAAATAACTTACCTATTTATTTCTTCAGACTGTTTTTACAAAAATTTAATTCTCGAAAGTGACATTTTGTGGGTTGGTTATAGTTTGCATAACTATGTCCAATTAGCTTAGCTTTTTGTCAAGCTGTTGCAACAGGTATAATGGAGAGCTTCAAAAAAAGAGACAATCGTAAATTTGGCTTCATCTTGAAGAAACTCCATGAACAATCTTGCTTTGAGCCTAACTCAAATTAACTACACTAACACTAAGGATAAACAGACAAGATGTAACATGCCACAACAAAAATGCCAAATTATTTTGTACAATGTGTAAAATGACATCGCATCCAAAAGACTGTTTTCAAATGTAATGGACGACACAGGGTGATAACATTTTTGTATTTATATAATGAAAGTTATTTTTGCATTTCTAATAAAAATATAAAGTCAATAGATTTTCATTCAATCCAATAACAATTTTAGTGTAAGAGTAAGCATATTTATACACTAAATAATAGTAGCTCAAATTACCACTGTTCTTTAAAAAGAACACCATTTTCCAGCCTAACCAGAACTTCTCAAATTTTTTCATAATTTTTCTAATGACATTTATACTAAAATCAGACAATATTGCGAAAATAAAACAAATCTGAAAGATTTTGTTGTTTCAGAAGTGGGTATGTAGATTGTATATAAATAAAAATATATTGCGACAGCACCATGGTAACCACGAAAATTATTATGTAACAGGACAATTTTCTATTTAATTAGGCATCAAATTGTCGTCAACCATAAAAGAAGAAAAGGCAAGAAATGTGCTTCGAATAAAAATATCGTAAACATTTTAAATGTTGGCGGAATGCCAAATAAGCTATAGGTTAACCAATCTGTCGATTTCATATAAAACGCATTACTTACAACACTGCAAACAAACTATTATGAACTGATATTGTAAACAGGAATATACGAAAATATTCTAAAAATCATTTTTAACCATCGACGTCTCAACCAAATACTAAGCGACATCCGATCGCATTCTATTTATAAATGTAAGCGAATTAACTGTGTACCTATACTTACATCATTGCTATTATGGGCTTGTGCGCTTTCTGTATTTTCTTCAGGAATTTTTTCAGCTGCCACCTCCATGTTAGAACTATATATATTCCCTTTAAATTTTACAAACTCGACTGAATGGTCTATTGGAAATTTAACGAACGACAACGACAGTCGACAAGCATACAGACCACAAAATAAAAAGTTATAAACCACAGACAAAGACAGAGTAGTCAGGGAGCAAGCCAAAGTTGTTTGATTCCATAAATTACCTTTATTTTTTTCCATCCTCTAAGCTCCACTCTTTAGTTTTTTGGACAAAACAAAAGCTGTGCAACATTGACCTACCAACAACATTTACATAGGACTACACCACCTAGAGAATGGAAGTTCGAAATTCGTGAGGTCCGCTGGTTTGTTCCGTGGCTTAGTTGTTATAACGTATATTTATATTCGAAGGATTTTTTTCTGAGTGTTCGGTCTTTGTATTAATAATTATAAGTAACTATAGTACGAATAATTTCACATAAAAATAATTGAATATCAATTCAATAAAAAATTATATAGTAATCATTGATAGTAATCATTTTTCATCAAATGGTTATGATCAGTGCTATTTCGCAATTTACTTATATCCAAGGTCATTAAATAATTTTTTTTAAAGCTGGTATCGAAAACTCAGCCCTGGTACTAACTGGTTCATTCATTTTATTTAAGAGCCATGCTCTTGTCGGTGTAGCCTCCTCCTCCTCCTCTGTAACTGGTAACATTTTGTAATCTCTCATTGCCATTTACGAGGAATTTCCCAAATTCCAGGGAACTTTAACTCAATTACTGATGCATCGCGCGTTTAATGATTACTGATAAAATCATTATTTATATTAATAATTTATATTATTTATGAACGATTTCGAAGTTTTTTTCAACATAGCCCATCACCCTCATATATAGCAACATTTATATGGAATTAACAAGCAACGTTATACGGAATTATTACGGTAGGATTGTAGGATTTGAAGCACGTTGTCCTTAATTGTAAAATTTATTATCAATCGGTGTGTGTTACTCCCGTTTAGTCTGTATACCCAGGTATGAAATAAAACGAAATCTGCTTCTACCAAACAAAGCCGAGGAGTTGGTATAATACTTTCACACGCCTCAATTTGCCACCCGTTAAATTTAAATATTAAATTAAAATCTCAACTTAATTTAACTCGTTGATTATTTCTAACCTTCGCATAACGTTTTATACACGCTTACATTTCGAGTTTCTTAATTCTTGGATATATTTTTAAGCGATTGATTTATAGCCACAATAAATTATAATATAATAAAACTGACAATGAATAAATATTGTCAGTTTTATTATATTTTATTGATTTATAGTCAGATGTAGCGAATTTTTTGCGAATATTTATGAATTTGTTCTCCCTAAATTTGAGGATTTTAACCATGGTTTTTGGGGATTTTTAATAATTAGCATTGGCAACGCTGATCCTCAATGCATCCGTCACATCAAAATCTTCGTCAAAAAGCCGAGTTGGACTAGACTTGTTGGTGAGTAATCCATATTTTTTTGTGATTTTTCTAGAAAGTATGTTGTAGAAAAGTAATGTTTGTTGATTAGTTTACAATGAAAAATTATCGTTTGCTTGATATCGGCGTAACTGACATGCACAAAATAACATTCACCGGCACATCCGAATACCATTAAAAAGATAGGCCGTTATTTTTCAAGATGAAAGGTCAACGTGCTTAAAATGTCGTGGGACGTAAGTAATTTCTAAGACCATGAGCGTCATACTTTCAGTACATCGTTTGCTTTGTGATGCTCCTATGCTGTTATTGCGAATCATATGCATTACGTGTATAGTAATCCCCAGACAAAGAGACACCGTTATCATTGCCGCATGAATGACTTGACCGCGCTGCAACAGACAGTCGTTCGATAAGTTTCATATAATTTACTGTTCAATACTTTATGTATATGTTAATGCCTTTTTATACAACTGCTTCCTATACTAAGTATGTTGAGTGTGTGCGTTATTATTATTATTAAACTAGCTAGTTATTGAACTTGATATACTCAATTAAGCTACAGCTTGTTCTTTTTGTACTTCAAATTCAGATACCTTTGAACAGTTTTGATAACCTCTGCCTTGCAGGTTTATCCTCCTAAGGCCCTGTAGGGCCTTACAGACCCACGGTACAATTTTATGTACATAATAAATATTTCTAGTCCGGTGCAGAGCTATTTTACTTTATAACTTCAAAAGTCGAAGAGACTGTGTGATACTAGTTTTGTTTATATATAAGTGTTATACTAGCATGAGTTAAAATAACTTATTTTTTGTTCTAAAAATTTAACATTGGATCTGAACTCAGTGTTCCAATGCCAAAGTTCCTATAGAAACTTAACATAAAATAAAACATGGGACTTCTTAAAATATTTATTTATTTATTTATTTTATAGGAAAGCCAACATGATGCATATACAACAATAGCAAATGTACAACACATTACACAGTTTAAAAGTAGATAATTACACCATACTTGTTGGCTAACACAGTAAGCTATACAGATAGTAGGATATATGAAAATTAATTCTTCAATTACACTCTATAATTATAATCCCTATTTTCTTTACAGTATAATATTGTACTTAAACATTAATTTTGTCTTGTATAAGTAATCTAACAACGTTTTCATACGAACTTATCAAGTTTATATTATATAAAAGAAAATATCAAAAATACACAGAACAATCAGTCATCACTTTGGCAAAATTAATGAAAACAAACTTCTATTCTCAATTAATTAATTCTTAATAAACTGTGATCTTATATATTTGAAGTTTATGGAGTTTTTTTAACCATGAAAAACAAAAAATGAGTTGCTAATAATATATTAACCAGTCACTCATGAAATTGCTTATAACAATTTACAATTTGTATGTATTCATCATTTTGAAAGTTATCCTCACCACTCTCCTCTGAGTACTCAGAGTCGTCCAGACTTTCCAATAAATATGTCTTTGTCTGTGAAAACTTCAAGAAAAATAAACAAACTGATTACAAATTGTATAATAATTTAGGCTTAGTTTGCCTTTTTACCTGGGCTTCCACCGTGTCTGCCCAAAAGCACAAAAGAGACAAACTCAATAACAGATTCAGAAACTTGTTGGCTTCTGGGTAGGCAGTCTGCCCTGTCTCTTAGTCTAACTTTAACTAGTTTAACTTTTGTGCAATAATATCATACGTCGTTTATGACGAAAAATTGGTTTTACAGCATTGAAGAGCTGGCTCTTCAAGATACGTTGCAATCACGTACGTTTTTTGCACATCTGACCAATTATTAATTACGCTAATAGCGTCAAACTGATTGAAAATTCGTCTACATCGTTTAACCCAGAAAACTTCTGCGCCGACATTCGAAGCATTTACTTTCTTGCCCTTTTCACTAACACGAGGATAAAAGCAATCAAATATTAAGTACAAATAAAAATTACGACCTTATATCTTCCTTCTTCCTTTCTTCGGAGATTTTTCCATAAAATCCTACAAAATTTCTATCAAATTCGTCATAAATAAAACTTTACTAAGAGTTTCAATTCGAAGCTTTTTCCAGAACAACCTCGATGTTCTTTTTACTACAATGCTCTTTTATTTTTATATCATTCTAAATACAAACCTATATTTATTTTTCAGACAATCCTAATACAATTCATACAGTCTACTCTACAGTATTATAGACCCGTATGTCGTGTCGCATGGACTTCCATATGTGTCTATTGACCTGTCTGTAGGTTTTAGCATTATCGGAGGACTGCAACGTCATATCGCGTCGATTTACCATTAGCTTGACAATATGATCGGAGAGTTTCTGCGGCCTGTTTTTGTGGCGGGTCCTGAAGAATTTTGACCCAACCATGTGGGACCGTCTCCACCAACCTGTTGCTAATCTCGTCTACAGAGACGCAGTCCTGTAGGCAGTCGAAACGATTTTGAAGTTCGAGCCGAAACTTTTCAAGGTCATTTATGTGGGTTCCGCTGGGTCGCAGAGTAGACTTCATCAGTCGTGACATCTCACGTTTGACATCGATATTCAACAAACCTCTTACCATCCTGTGATCGTTTCCACTTTTCACCCCTATTGATCACCGAAATATTGTTGAATATCAGTCCCTTGTCGGTCAATATGAAGTCTGTCTCATTCCTTGTGACACCATCGGGATTTAACCAGGTCCATTTCCTTTGAGGCGGTTTTTGGAAGAAGTTCATCATAATGAGTCTCTCCTTTTCCATTTGCCTTTGGCCGCTAGAATTTCACTGCCCATAACCAAATTTCCCCACTCACGGCTCGTCAACCATTCGACTGGCGTTGAAGTCCCACATGACAACATTTGAAGTGTGTTTGGAAGGTACGTATGGCTTGACTTATGTCCTCATACACAGCCTCCACCTCCTCATCTGGGTGTGTCGAGGTCGGTGCGTAGACCTGTATGACCTTCAGCTAGTAGCGCTTGGATACTCTGAGTATAAGGTACGCAACCCTGCTCGACACACGATGTTCACACGACTGCTCGATACGTCCCGATGGATGTATGTAATGTTGCCAATAAGGGATTTGTGGATGCTAAACCCAACACTACCCTGGAACTGCTGGTCACCTTCCCTGAAGTAGAACAAGTTACCGCTTAACACTCTTATCACTTGGGAGAGGCGAACCATAGACGCGAACATAAGTGGATGGCACAGCCGTGCGATCTACCGCTTTATGTACATTTTCTACTGTTTGCGGCTATCCCGGCTATCTGTTGTTCCCTCTCAGCCTCTTCTGCCGTTATTCTATTGACGATCGATATTAAATCCGACTCAGCACCTCAAAGCTTAGCGACCCTTTATGCCACACACTGCGCGTCGCTCCAGCCCGGCTCGTATCTGGCCACAGCAGCGGTTCCTCTTTTATAGCAGCGGCATTCACAAAAGCGCCTGGCGGCGTAGCCCGTGCCTCACTTGCGATCACAGTTTGCTTTGCTATTTCCAGTGCTTTTGCGTAGGTTAGTTTGATTGCGTCTTGCCCCCACATTTTTGTCTATATTTAGCCCAAGTACGAATTTTTATTTTTAATATATAATAGAATTTATCCCGCTACACCCTGTCCAGAGATGCTCCGAAGGCACAATGTACCGCAAAGCCTAATAATCGAGCCGCCCAACCCTCGAAAGTCTCCTCCTATGCTTGGACTACGTTGTAAAAATTACCAAGTCCGCAAAAATCGCCCGCGTTGGAATTGAGTGCTTCGTTTAATAATTTTACTAACCCATCGAAATTTGAAGTTTTCCACCTCCTTCGGATGACTAAGATAATAATAGTCCATAGTAAAGAATACGTTTCATCCGATAGATGAGTTATAAGAATTGCACATTTCCTTTTCTCGATCTGAATGACATTCAAACTTAAAAATTGTTTCACCCAGTAGCGAAATATTTCGCATACTTGATGTTTCGAGTCGAAAAATAGTAGCGTTCCGATCCCATCCTCGTCACCAGTTGATAGATTTGGGGAATATATATTAATGTACAACCACAAATGAATTACAGGAACTGTTTTTAATCTCTCAAATGTCACTCGTAAAAGACTATGCACATCATAGACAACCTATCGGATAATACAATGTCCTGAAATTCATTTCATAAATAAACTTCCCTTAGTAAATATTCCTTACTTGTAGTAATTGAAATTAAAAATTAAAATAATGTGGTTCTCTTCTTGATGTTTCTCAATAATAATAACCCACACACTCATAACCCGGCACTGAGGAAACCATGTATCGCGGGTGCATGTAGACACACATAGACAAGCAAGTGTAAAGTACATTTCTTGAGTAGACCCATACTTGGCTACATTTCGTTAGGTCCTAACATAAAATGTATTTTTGTCTAATCAAAAGTTGATTTAAGGAAATTAAGTGGATTGGGGAGAAATTATGTGCCTTGCATTGGGACAGCATGGGCTGACAAAAAGTATTTGTACACTTTTGTTTTAGTTGTCCGATTTACTGAGCCAACAGAAGAATAAACAGCGTAGAATTAACTTGTTGTCTGTAGTGGAATCAGTTTCAGAGCAACAGAGTAAAATTCTGACTTTCTGTTTACATACTTGAACAATGAATACGTGAGGTCATGTATTTAGTCCCAGCTGTGTTAATTCTAGCATGAAAGATTTACAATAGCCTATAACCAATTTCTTATGTATGTGTATATGCACATATTGTATGTGCACCATAGTTATCGTTATATGCAATAACATTCATATGTTTATTCAAATGTGTGAGTCACACACATTCTGTAGCTATGACCGCTGAGTGAATTATATTATGTTAATGAGCTTCAGATACTTATTACATTACGCAAGGTCTTGGTAAAAGGTGAACAAATGTACAGTCGCGTGGAATAAAATATAAACGTATATTAGATATTTCAAAAATAAATACCTTGTGTTGTGTTCAAAAATTTGTAATCATACATATACTTTTATTTCAGAGAAAAGTAACCAAACTACAATCAGTCAACAGTATACACTTCTGATATATCTGTATCATTTTCGTAAATATTTATACAATGCATTTTCATTAACATGTAAACATTGAGGATTGTGATTTTGTCATAATTACATATTAACTACGGAATTTGTTAGACATTACTCGTAATTGTACTGTTTTCTAAAATATGAATACACAAAGTAGATCCAATATAATGTAAACAATTCATCGTGTAACGTTAACAATTTTTGTAATATTTTACAGTTACATATTATATTCGGAAATTTGTCAACGATTACATTTCATTGCACGCAACTGTACAAAATATACTATAATAATAATGTGTACATTCTCCTCAACAAAACTGTCACTTTAGAGACCCCCCACACTAGCGTCTTTCGAGCGTCAGCGTCTTGCCAACGCACGCACAGCGCTAGTGTGTGGGGTCTCTTAGCCTTTATAAAATTCCAAACTTCTTTTATGTTAATTATTGTTTCATAGCTGTAAATATTTATGCAATATTACGAAACAGAGGACTCTATCCTTCAATTATTAATCTTAGCTACAATAGAGTTTCTTTTTTGCAAGATTTATACAAGCATGGAAATGAAGTGACATTTACACTTTTCCACTAACTCTACGGTCTGTTATTGGCAGGTAAAATGACGTCTACACCATTCAACGTTGGCATTGCTGAAGGTAAGCGCCCAACCAGTCGAGTGCTGTATCCTCCTGGCGGCAAACATACCGACATTTTTGGTGTGGATCCCGAGCCTCCACGTTACGGCAAACGTCAAGGTTTTCAAGTTACAGGTAAAGACATTGTTGTTGACGGACAGATAAGAAATTATCTTTATTTATTTATTAATTTCGATGTTCAGAGTTTTTGTAAAATTGTGACAGCTTATAAATTAGTATTATCCTCTTAATTTACAGCTGCTCAAAACTCTGAAACGGCCACTGCAACTAATGGCACGGCCACGAGTGATAAAGCGAAGCCTGTCACACTAGAAGCCTGTAATGCCTCTCAGGAGGTTATGCCAGAAGCAAAACCTGACACGTCTTGCAACGAAGCATCGGTCACTGCTGAGTCTGCAGGCCCAGTGGAGACAGCTGCACCACAGATTGTTGCCTCAGCTCAAACTCAGGCTCCCACAGCTACTTCTGAAACGACTATTGGTCCGGTTACCACCACTAAGCGTGTACGTGTCCCTCCTGGAGGTTTCTCCTCTCAGCTTTGGTAAAGAGTGATTACAAATATTATGTAATCAAATGATGTTTTGTAGTTAAGTTTCTTGCTGGGACCAGATTAGTTTTGGTTATACTTACTATGATTTTAAGTCAATTTTATAATACTTGATAAAATGGTTTAATGTGCCTTTATTATTTTGCACCTAGGTCTCTATTAATTTGGTTGTAAGTCTTGCCTTGATGCTATAGGTCGACCGCGTAGTCTCTTTTATACGGTCGAACTATAGGTAGGTAATAGAATAAGTTTTATGACATGCTGGTCTCGAGCTCGATTTCTTGGCAGTCTGCTTAATATGCCAGTATATTATATTACATTATAACATTACCGTTAATACCCACTTCTTTGGTACACTCTCGTGTGATGCTAACATTTCCACGTAGTATCATTTGCGTTTAAAATCTTAATTTATTCTATTTAGCTTTAATGGCCAAATTGTGTATTGTATTATTACACAGGTTAAGTCAGCCAAACTAATAAGTAAAAAAAAATTAAACCTAAAACTAAAACTAAAGTACAGAATGACTAGGAACAAAATGAATATGGAAAAATTAATAAGCAAGCCCTTTTTGTATGATTGGTTTTGTGAATTAAAAATTCCATTTTTTATCGAGTTCCGATTGAATTGAAAAGGTTGAAATTTTAAAATCCGGCAATCCAACGGTATTATCCTATGACCAAGTGACTAGATTACTTTTAATAAGTATGTACTAAGTTACAGTAAAGGCGCCTCTAAATTAGACGCTTATAGAAGCAGTTAAGTGGCGCTGCAGCATCGTCAGTATTAATATTCATGCAACATTTAGAAGTGGAGTTGCGGCGCCACTATCGTGAAACGCGCGTGCCGCTTTTGCAGTCACAATTAGTGATCCAAAAAGTACTGAAGCGCTTCTACAAGCGTCTAATTGAAGGCGACTTAAGGTTTAAATGATATGACTATGACTAAATGTTAAAATTGTCGCCAGGGCGCACCACATAATACTGTAGTTTCCAAGAATTCCTTTAAGAGGAATGTCTTCGAATTCTTATAAGTAACGCTCTCTTCTAGTAACCAATTTTATATGAACGTAAAATTTAAGAAAATGTGGTGCTCGCTTGCTTCGCTGACATTAGCTATTTTTAAAAAAAATGTATTTTTTTACGACATTACAGCATTAAAATTAAAATTCATAACATTACCGTTTTATTTCACATGAGGAACGTACCACTATTTCATGGGCATTTTTGCAATAAGCATTTTTACAATTAAAATGGAATAAGGAGTTAAAAATTTCTTAATTTCTTTCAATTCAGTCTTATAAATATAAAACTTGTGAAAGGCATAATTTCATTAAAAAAACGGTGTTTCCCGTTGTTGATCAGATTGATTTGACATCTGGGGGTTACTATCACAGACCACATAAGTTTCTTCCGTGGTTATTATTATTATTTATCCTTAATGGCGATCACTAGACTTGGGCCAGTGTCAGTTTTGTAAAAATATTTGAAATTGGACTTTATAGCTTGTATAAATAACTATGTGCCTTATGGTCGAGTAAGTCGCTATTTAGTCGGTTCTAGTACCAAAAAACTAGATTTAGTCGGGCCGCCGTTCAAAAGTTAAGTTAATAAGGTAGTTAAGATAGTAAGGTTGTTTTACTGTTCACGCTGGAATAAGCTTTTCCAGCGGCACCATTTCTCAATCTCGAGAACCACAACACCTAGCTTATTTCTGATTACACTAAAAAAGTGATTTAGTAGGTTCTAGTCGTAAAAAACTAGATTTAGTCGTTACGCCGTTTTGAAGTAATTGAGGTGTTTTATTGTCCACGCTGAAATAAGCTTATTCCGACGGCACCATTTTTTAATCTCGAGAACGACAGCTCCTAGCTTAGATCTGATTGCACCTAGAAAAAATCGAGAATTAGTCGGTTCTAGTCGCAAAATTTTAGAATTAGTCGCTCCTTTGTTTAGAAGATACAACCGATTTATTATTTTAAGGTTATACCTGTGTTAGTCTCTGAGCTACGTAGGTACTAATTTTGCATAATATACAGAATTTGTTATTTTTTTAAAATACATACTATTTGAAGGTTTTAATACAAGTCAAATTTACTAGTCAAACCAAAACTCGAACATGGTCACACTGGAATAAGGCACACTGTGTAAGTACTCAATTTGCTTATCTTCGCACTTGAACATGTAAGAAAAGTCGACACGGTTCTACTACAAGGATATTCAAAATGTCGTAGTATATTTATCATCTAAATAAAATAATGGTGTAATGCAATTATGGTTTATATTTTCAAATAGACTATGAACCAGCACTTAATATCTATTGGAATGTATAAATATTTCAAGTCACATAAATTACTTTCATTGTACAAGGCAAAAGCAACAAGCATGAAACTTCAGATTTAAATTCAACTAGATGCCGCTTACGAATCGAAAACTCGAGCGGTCCAAATGTGTTTAGCTCTTAAACTATGGAAATTTCCATCCTCTAAGGTTTAGCTTGATGTGCTCTTGACAGTGCAATATATACTTATATAATAAGTACGTATTAATATACCTACTCAAATCATATAATTAGTCTATTAAATTATTACTTTTAAGAAATAAAATTAGTAGTTCATTACGGGCAATTTGTTACACAATTGGTTTCTAACTGCTTTTTTGCACGATTTTTAAGTATTTGTGATGTGATTATGTAAGTAATTAAGTATCGACCTATAAGGCTAAGAACTCATGGAGCGGTCTCCGAAGAATGTAGAAAAGAAATGTATGCAAAATTTAGTAGTACATTTCACGACGCGTTTTACTCCCGCAGGGGAGACGGATGCTCGCGGCGGCTGCAAACTGCAGGACGCGGTCACTCGCGCGCTTGGCGGGCGCCGCCCGCGCACTCTGCGGTCGGTTCGCGGGCGACGCATTGCACGCAAGCGGGTTGGGTCTTTCCTTCCCACGCCATTTTGTGATTGATTTTCTATTTGGCAGCGCTTGTCAATTTCTCAAGTACGTTGAAGTCGATTCATTAATTTCCTATCAGTTACCATTTTTCTTAAAAGTTCTGAAAAAGTAGATACGGACATCCGAAAAAAATTAAAGAATTTGTCTTCATGTTTTTTTAACTCATTAATAAGAACAACGAATAATCCGTAACGATTTCTTTTCTGAATCAGAGGATGCACCCAGAATCTTTTAGGCCTTCTTCTTTTAATTCTCCGATGATGTAAGTATAACGCGATAGCTCGTTTTTCATGTGAGTCCATGGCGACGTCTGAGACTTAACTGACGCTCTCAATCGATTATAAATAAACGCGCGCCTTGCAATCCTCTCCCACCAAGTTTGCAAGCCGTTCCGCAACCGCGGCGGCTATGTGACCGCGCAACAAGCCTGCGGTATCGTGAGTGTTGAAATAAAACAGCTGTCCCGCAACCGCAGCGGGCGCGGATCAAAACCGCTTCGTGAGTTCTGTCTCTAAGGCCATGTAATAACACGCACGCTACACAGCACAGTAGGTAGTATTATAGAGTGTCCACAATATACACCCTTGTCTTCCTAAGTCTATTTCCAATTTAGCTTTGATTTACCTAAAACGGTTTGGCTCACATTTAACTTTCAAAATAAAGTCATATTCTTTATGTTATCCGACAAGTCAGTCGACATACCGACATTGGCGTCAAATAACTGTCAGAGGACCACGGATTTATATATTTCATAAACTGGATCGCGCACTTCGTTATATCAATATTACAAATTTACGCCTTAATGGGTTGTATTAAGATTTATTTGAAGTTAAAGGTAAAAAACCGAGTCACGTGAGATAGCTCAAAGTAGTGGTCTGTCCTTGTCTAACAAGTTGCCAACGCTAAATAAAATCATCTTAGGTAGCGTCTAGTGTACTAACTTTTTAAATTTTGGTTAAATAAAATTAGCTTAAAGGTAATATGCTTTTACCGTAATAATACAAAAAATATATATCAACAATTAAACCTATTATGAAGTAGCATATCAAATAATATACTAATTTGTATTATAAAATAATATTAGTAGTTTTGGTCATCCATAAGCGGCCATATTTTCTGTAAAAATTAATAAGTTAAAAACAATATGGCTGTCTGAAACATGAATGAACACCCTTTTAAAAAGAGACGCATTACTACTTTGAAGTCTCTCACTCGGCTCGTTTTATTAACTTAGTGCACGGTCCAGTTTAATATACAAGTCCGTGCAGAGGACAATCCAAAATAGCATTAACATTCATTCCCAGCTAATATGGCCAACATGTTCGCCAGTGAATAATTTCTTAAAATAAATATTTTTATCTTCTTGCCGTAGCTTTTTTTGATGGCGATGCTATTTAGAATCCGTGCAGGGCAACAATATGATGACTAGTTTATAATCAAATCAAAAATCAAAATAAGAAACTAAAAAACAAAAAAATTAAATCAAACTGCCTCTGTGGCCGAACGGTTACCATGCCGGACTGCCACGCAGAGGTCCCAGGTTCGAATCCCGGGCCAGGAGAAATATTTGTATGGCCTACATTTATTTCTCTCGTGAGTTTGGGTGTAATTTATGGTTGTCTATGTGTGTGTCCATGGCACTCGCAACACAGGGTTTCCCCGGTGCGGGGCTATGTTGAGTGTGTGTGTTATTATTATTATTATTATACTGCTAAAATAGTTACACACAGCATATTTTTTATAAGACAATTATTTAACAGCTAATTGAACATATTTGTTCCGAAATTTTTATTTTAAAGAAATAATTTTTTCGTTTATTCTGCAATCACGATTGTCGTCATAATATAGTCTATAATCCCGAAACAAGGCCGCCATCATATGTACGATTCATTTTCGTTAGGGACGGTTTTTCGTAGAAGGACCCTAGAAAAACAAGTGTGTAGCAACACTTAAAGAAATTTAAAGAGGCTGAAAGTCCTGTAACGGTGAGGCTACTTTTGTCACCAATATTTGTGTTGCGTAAAATAAATTAGTAAGGAGTCCCATTCATAGGCGAACATGTTAACCATTTTGGCCGTGTTACCCAACAAGTTCACAATAACTAATTCTATGTTAGCCGATGTGTCATCAACTCATCAGACAATTTTGAAAACTATTATTTATCGGTGCATCGGATAATAAATGTTGAGAATATTATGGCTACGTGTCAGGCCCTGGGGCCTTACCATGAAGTCTTATAACAGTTCAGTATAAGTTCGTAACGAGAAGAAAGCGGGATGGTGTTATATATACACTTCATGTAGCGCTGTCTCACAACGATTTATTTTAGGTCCTAAACTGAATCGGAATAAGAGTTCATAGTAAGGCCCCTGTACTCTCGTTCTCCGCACGATATCCGTTCAAAACAATTACTGTCAAAGAATTAGTAATATTCGACCAAATTATAAGATGCATGATGCGAATTAACCTTCATACATGATATTGTCTTTTATTTTTAACCGACTTCAAAAAAGGAGGAGGTTCTCAATTCGACTGTATGTCCTTTTTTTTGGTTTTTTTCTTTTTTTTGTATGTATGTTACGCGATAACTCCGGTATTTGTGAACCGATTTTCATGATTATTTTTGTATTGGAAAAGGGCTATTTCCATAGTGGTCCCATTTCATTTTGAAGAAAATCATCCACCTCAAAGGGTGGCTGTTCACGCATGAAGATTCATTTTTAGAAATAGCGCCTAACTTAAATTTAGGAGCAATTACTTTTAGCAATTATTTAGTTGATTTTGCTATTTCTCCAATTCAAGGCGTTTTTTCTCGATATACTTTGACTAGTGTCGTAGTGAGAACCTATTTTTATTATCTCCAGTATCAAGTCCTGTATAGTGGCGAACTAGGGGATATTTCAATGAAACTTAGCAAATACACGTAATTCCTAAATACTTTTGAGGTCGGTTTTTTGAGTACTCTGTACTGAGATTATCTTTTACTTTCTTTTATTTGGTGGATTATTACTTATTTGACAGTATATACTTTGAAACTTTCGCGTTGCATTGTACTAACATTTGGAAACGGGAATAAACGCGTTTACATACGAATAGGTATTTTTCACACCTATCAAGTTTCCCGACGTTTCGGCCAGGCTGCACTGGTCGTTGTCACGGGCTGACTGGTGACGCGGTGTTTACGCATAACACTTTTTAAACTACCGCCACACACAACACTAACGGTGTCCCTATTCTGTATCACAGCCGTATTCTGGTACGCAGTCGATAGCGAACATTGAGTTTTTGAAAACACCGGATTCCATGCTGCAGATAATTTGAAACCGTCCTCCCGATTGAAATTATTAGGGTGTTTTTTTATTTCAATCGCTTCACGTACAACTCTTGAATAAAAGTGACGATCGGTGGAGAGAATCTGCGTACGATGAAACTCAATCCAGTGATTTGTACCCTTTTCCAGTAAATGTTCTGCAATAGCTGACTTATTACATTCTTCGTTTTTTCGTTCTTTGAGCCTTTCAGTGACAGTTCTCTTTGTCTGGCCTATGTAGCAACAAGGTAACGCTTTCAATGACGAATGAAGCGCTTTCTTTAAAATCCCACAATTTGGCGAATAGACTTCAATACTTACTTTTCGGCTTATTATATAAAATATATAGGAAATGAAACTATTTTTCCGGATTTAAATCGCGTATATTTGTTTTTTGAAACAAACCGACGTTTCCGGCCCTTTACAGGTCCCATGGTCACGGTTGACCGTGAGAGAGTCGAAGATTTAAATCCGCAAAAATAGTTTCATTTCCTATGTGTAACAATCGCGAAAACCTAATAACTCGATAAAATATGAATATTAGTTAGAAAATTCCTTGTTAAGGCTCCACAGACTCCATATTCCTATGAATTTTTTTCAACTCTTCTAGCAGCATCTTTGCTTGTAGTTTCTCTATGAGAAGCTCGTTCCTTCTTTGCTCTCCTGTAAATACATCGTCTATGGTCAATGCCAGTTTGAATGTATCGACTGTACCCTCAGGACTCGGCGAAACGGCGACATCTGTTACTTTGTTCACTGAAAATAAAATTTCTTAACTTTAAAATGGGCCAAAGAGTAAGTTATTTATTATCCTCGTAGGTGTAGTATAATAAAACACTATGTACTACTCGGAAGAAAGTGATTACTAACTCGTGCGTTTTATGAACGTCGGCTGCGCCTTGGGCCTCAGACTACATACTCGTTGGTAATCGTTCACTTACTCCCCATAATGAACAATGTACTATAATATATACATAATGTTTTAGAATTATGACTTTTTATATGCAACATATAAAAAAATTTGCATATACAATATGAGGGTTAGTACAGCCACTTGTTAATGATAACTATTTATTAATCTACCTATAATATACTCATGTACTTGAATCGATGAGTAGTATTAAATGTTACATCGAACCGAATGCTCGTGTTTTCTATTGCCTCTCGGTCCCAACCTTATATGGCGACCATGCCAGGATCTCGCGACGATGCGAGTTCGGTTTTCAAGTAAAGTGCAAATGTGAACAGATTTTGAATTATAAATAAAAATAATAATAATTTGAGTGAAGTAGTTCAAAATTAGTATTTAAATGATTTAAAGGAAGTGATTGAACAGCAAGTTTGAAAGTATTCTCCACCATGGGTAAGACACCATCATAGTCCAAAACGCAGTTGGAGACCATAACATCTCTGCCAAGGTGAGCGACTTCAGTGGGCAATTGACAACAAACGTCCTGTTGCTGATAATAGTCATTCTCATTATCATCATTGGTAATAGTAATTCTCGTCATCCTGGTTGCCATGTTTGTGGGCTACAAGAAATATACAGCATAAAAGAAAAAGAGAACGCAGTTACAGAATTTGCTTTGAGGTCAAACGTGTTCCGCCCGTCATTTTTTCGACGTGATCCTCCCAAAGTGGAAGTGTGAGTGAGTGATTTTTTTATATAACAAAAATAAGTAATGCGAATAAAAAGTGTAGTGCAATAAATCGGAACTAGTGAAGTATGTTATTTAGCTCATATATGAACTATAATTTTAACAATATTATGCCTAATTAATCGTGTAACCAATGACACTATACTATTAATTTCGATCAATAAGACATAAAAATGCAAGTTAAGAACTATTTGTGGCTACTAATATAGATAAATTATATAAAAACTAGCTTAAAATTAAAAGTAATTTGGTAAAGTTAGCTACAGAAAAGAGAACAAAGGAAAAATTGTCAGAAGCAAATTTATTGTTTAAGGAATTTGGCAAGGAAGCAAAAATAGTTAATCAACAAGTTCAGAATAAACAAATAAAGACAGAAACACTAATAGGAATACAAAGAACAATACTTTGAAGAAACCTATAATCAAATCGTAGATTTTTGTTCTAAAGATTATTAAGATAAAAGCGGCACTATGGAGAAATTCGAGTTGAAAACTGCTGTATCCTTATTGCCGGTTATGACAGGTGAAGAAGTTACAAAAAAATTGATTAACTCAATTGAACTATACAGTTCCATGATCAAGGACATAGATCATTCCTCATGAATATCATTTGTTTTAAAAACGAGATTGACAGAAAGTGCGAAATTGCGCTTAGCTGAAACTTACGCTACTGTCGACTTATTGCTCTAAGACATGAAGCAAAACTTATTAACCAAAGAATCATCCACCGCGGTTCACGCTGAGTTAATAGTTATAAATCAATTAATGATTACAGCAAAAAGATATAGGAATTATTTGTGGACTTGACGATTTCTCGCCCGACGGAGATAAAACCGCCTATAAGGTACTAAAACCTTTAAATGAACAATTGGCGATCAAACGATTCACTAGCGGCTTAAGAAATCGTAATCTTAGAATCATTTTAGCGGCCCGTGATTACACGTCGCTTAAGGACACTATAAGAGCTGCGAAAGAGGAAGAATTATCTTGTGTATGTCTAGAGACGGAAGGAGCAGTGTACCTCGGACAGCGGTCAAGAGGTAATTATTCCAATTTCAATTCAAGGAATTCCAGAGGAAGAATGTTCAGGAGTAGAGGTAACATTCAACAGGGCAGATCTTACGAGTCTAATCAGCAACCGTCGACATCAGCGGTAAGTAAGTACCAAAGGCAGCAGAGCAGTTGGGCAACACGATCTCGCCCGAGCACTCGATCGAGAGGTAAGTTTTATTACAATAGGAATAGTCGTGGAAATACCCGTAAACATCATGTACGATGCTTTGACCAAAATGACACACAGAATACAACACAACAAAGTAACGATCAAGGTAACTTCTACGAATTAAAATTTTTTCGACCCTAATAATTGCGAGTAACTTGCGAGTTTAGCAACTCTATAATAATTACCAGTAATATTACGAAGCAATGGCTAGTAGATTCTGGAGCATCTTTGTCAGCCGTGAAACTAGAAACCGTAAATGAGTTGAATGTACCAATACTTCAACTTCAACTTTTGTGTCTATGGCTCCGTCGTTTTGCGCGACGATTTTGCCAACGTCAGGGTTGCAAGACATGTGGAGCGGTGGTGAGATAGATTGCCGGTTATACATAAACAATCTACATTCGTTAATAGTATAGGTGGACAGTTGCGAACAGAGGGTTATGTTTATTTAGACGTAGCCATTTGTGGACAGTTAATTAGTCACAAGTTTCATGTTTTAAAAAAGATTCCATGTAAGACCGATGGAATAATTGGCCAAGACTTTTTAATTAAATATAATGTAACATCAACTATGACTTAAATAGATTTAGTTTATATTACCTAGACGGATATTACACGATACCATTAGAATTAGGAAAACAAACAAAAAATAATTACATTATTGTACCTCCTAGGTGTGAAAGGATATTTTATATAGACACAAAATTGTCAGAAGATTGTGTAATAGAGTCGAAAGATATGTGTATTTATTGCAAGAGGAATCGCTCAAATAAAATTTGTATTCAAATACTGAATACCCGCGACGAAGAGGTTAGTTTATCCTATTTCAGTCCGACAATCGAAAAGCTTAAAGATTATACAGTATATGATTATAAAAAAAGTGAGATTACGGTAGAAAGGGTAAAGGAAATGTTAAATCAATTAAATGTGTCTCATTTAAATTCAGAAGAAAGGAGGGAAATCCAAAATACTTGTGCAAAGTTTGCAGACGTATTTTTCTTATCAGGAGACAAATTGTCAACAACAAATGTATATCAACATAAAATTTAGTTAAAAGCAAACTGGGATCAAGTTTATGTCAAACAACATAGGCTTTTTTTCAGAGGGCAGAAATAGAAAATCAAGTAAAAGACATAATTGAGCCCTGCCGTAGCGAATAGTCCAGTCCTGTTCTCTTGGTGCCGAAAAAGACTGACAACGGAAATAAAAAATGGAGATTGGTAATTGATTTTCGAAAACTGAATGAAAGACTAGTAAATGACAAATTTCCCCTACCGAACATTACCGATATATTGGATTCACTTTCCGGCGCCATGTATTTTTCACGTTTAGACTTAAACCAAGCATATTATCAGTTAAGTTTAGATCCAGAAAGTCGATAATATACTGCATTCACCACCCCAACAGGTCAGTGCCAAATAAAAGGTTACCAATGGGGTTAAAAACCAGCCCCAGCTAATTTTCTAGAGCCATGACAGTGGCCATGTGGGGACTTAATTTTGACAAACGCTTTGTTTATTTAGATGACTTGATTTGTTTTGGTAGAAACTTAGACAGTCATAATCGTAACCTTATAGATATTCTGAGAAGACTTCGAAAACTAAATTTAAAACTTAATCCCGCTAAGTGTGAATTTCTAAAAAAGGAAATCCTATATCTAGGACGTATTGTGTCAGCTGATGGGTTAAAACCAGATCGAAAAAAAATTTTAGCCTTAGAAAAGTATCCAACACCAAAAAATACAGATGATGTTAAAAGGTTTGTGGCTTTCTCTAATTATTATCGTAAGTTCATACCAAATTTTGCGGAAATAACATTGCCACTCAACAAACTCTGCAAACAAAAAGTTGTTTTTGAATGCGAAAAAGCATTTGAAACAGCAAAGCAAGCACTCATATCACCACCTATTTTGCAGTACCCCAAATTAGACGAAAAAAACACTTTTATTTTACAAACAGACGCCTCAGGTTTTGCAATAGGGTCCATGCTAAGCCACGAAGATCGTCGACCTGTAGCGTACGCCAGTCGAACTCTAAATAAGGCAGTGTGTAATTATCCGACAATAGAAAAAGAACTTTTGGCGATCGTATGGTCAGTGAAATATTTTAAACCGTATTTGTATGGTAGAAAGTAGAAAGGTAGAAAGTCGTGTGGTAGAAAGTAATAGAGACAGACCACAAACCACTTCTGTATTTATTCGATATGGCAAACCCGTCAAGCAGTTTGATGAAATTTCGACTTTTATTTGAAGAATATGACTTTGTTGTAGAGTATGTCAAGGGTGTGAACAATGTGGCCGCCGACGCATTGTCACGCATTAAGATAGATAGCAATGAATTGAAAGCGATGAAAGAGAATATTGTGAATGTTTTAACAAGAGGTCATAAAAAAAGAATGGAATAAGAAGAAAATAGCTAGTAATACTGCGGAAAGAGATTATAGAAAGTTGGACGATTGGACTGATCACCCAAGAGTCGTGGAAATGTTGAAACTTTCGAAGTAATACACGGAGTTAGCAATAGCTAGTGACCAACAAATTAAAAAATTAGAATATGACATAGTGACAAAAAGATACAAGACATTTAGCGTATGTACAAACACAATGGACTATTTACGTAAAACCTAACACCCGATCATGTTGCACTTGAGAAGTCTTCGTAAGGGAATTAGGGTTATTGTGTAAAAAAAAAAATATAGATACAATTTATATAGTAAAAGGTGAAAATAATATATTTATACAAGAGTTAACTCAAATAATAAATAAAATGACACAGTAGTCCGGACCGCGCATATGTATTGTAAGAGGAATAAAGAAAATAAATGACAATGACATGAAAAGGATATTGCTAAACGATTACCACATGCTGCCCACAAGTGGTCATGCTGGTATTCGTCGAATGCTGAATAATTTACGTAGAAATTATTTTTGGACAGGTATGGAGAAGACGTCACAGAATTTGTAAAAAATGTGACAAATGTCAAAGAAATAAATACGGTAAGTATACGAAAGAACCGATGGTAAGAAAGTATTCTTAGACACAGTGGGTCGATTAGTAAGTGACAGCAGTAACTACAGGTACATTTTAACAGTCCAGTGCGACTTGACAAAATTCGTCGAGGCCTCACTTCAGTCTAAAGACACGGTTACAATAGCATCAAGTTTCGTCAATAATTTTATACTTCGTTACGGAATTCCAGGTAGAATTGTTACGGATAAAGGAACCGAATATATTTCTAAAGTAATGCAAGAGGTCAGCAAATTACTCAAAATAGAACAATTGAATTTTACAGCCTACCATCACCATACAATAGGTTCACTTGAAAATAATCAAACATTTGACAGCATTTTTAAGAATTCAAACAGAAAATAATCCACTTAATTGGAGTTCATGGTTACCCTATTGGTGTTTCTCATACAATAGTACCGTACACACTGAAACTAAATACACTCCCTACAAGCTTGTACTTGGTAAATCATGGCAGATTCCTTGTAATTTAAATAATGTAGTTGAACCACTGTACCATAACGATGACTATCCATTACAACTTAAATATAGACTGCAAAAGGCACAATATGAGGCTAAAACTAACATTGTGAAAAGTAAACTAAAAAGGGAAGGTTACTATGACACTTATGTGAAATCGATTACGTACAAGACAGGCGACCAAATTATGCTACGAAATGGAAATATGGACAATAAATTGGACTGCTTGTACTCGGATCCATACGTTGTAACCCAACCCAATGTATCAATTTTATATAAAGAGATGTTGGTACACAAAAATCAAACTAATATGTATTTTACATAATATTGTATCCGTTAGATTTAAAGATAATACATATATTTAGACATTACATTATTATACAAGAAAAAAAATTATCTTGTATTATTAACTTTTTCTTTTTTTTTTGCAAGTGGCGTGAGGTGTAGTATAGCCACTTGTTAATCATAACTATTATGTTTCTACCTATAATATACCCATGCACTTGAATCGACGAGTAGTCTTAAATGTTACATCGAACCGAATGATCGTGTTTTCCATAGCCTTTCGGTCCCATCCTTATATGTGTACTCAGTTTCCATTGAAACAAATACAACATGTAATAATGGTTTTAATAAATTTATTCTATTGTTTCGACTTTTTCGGCCCTTAAGCCATCAGAATACTATTTTTGAAAACTGCACTCATTTCGAGAATTTAGCTGTGAATGAACCTTACAGATGTAATCTGCTTAGAACTTTTGTGAAATTTGAGGAAAATGAAGCGATAAAAAAACTTACACATAAAACCACTAGTTTGAACTTGAGCGACGTGTGACTGCCGCATGGCGTCGGCGATGTCTGCTAGCGCGGTAGCGTGCGCGCGCGGTACTCCAAGCACTAACAGGTCGCGCGTCAGCTGAGCACCGCCACATGCGCACCGCCATGTCTGCTGCAGCACCCACCGGATCACAGCAGCCGCACGTGCGCACTCTTCGCGAGACGCTATTACATTGTATACAAATATCATACATTTTGTATAATAAAGCCGTAAATCACGTGCGGCTCTAATGCTGTTATCAGCGAAGGTAATAAAAATAATTTTATAACTCTCCTATTTAAGAGTCTATACTCTATACGACCTCTCGTATTCAAATTTTTCCCGTACTAATACGATTCATTTGGCTTGAGTCGAGCGGCTCTCTGACTCTGGGACATTATATTTCAAAATTTATTTTTATACAATCCAAATTAAAGCCATTTGAAAAATGTGTATCGTAAGTAGGTATACGTATTCTAACTTCGATTTAGTTCAGTCGATATAAAAAAAGTTATTGGAACATGTAAAGTACGTATTGAATACAGCGTATTTCTTGTAAAATTTAGAGGTAAGTTTGTGTTTTGCTTTTCTATCGTGAAGTTTTTTATGAATCGTGTTTTCACACTGTATAGTAATCAGAGTATATTCTAATTTTACTATATATTTTTTCCAAAGTGATTTATTCAACACTTTCACTGTTATGTGGAATCAACCAAACCCATTTGAGGTTGTATAGTATGTATAGAATCTTAAGCATAAAAAGTTATCGACTAATTTAGTTCGTAGAAACTTTAAACCTCTCTCCCGCAAAGTTGTTATTTTGCTGATACGGCGCCTTATTACACCAAAGACGCGATTTATAAACAGTTGTATGAGTATTTATATAACGCGCTACGATTAAAAAAGTTTCTGCTTTCAAACAAGTAATCGTAATGGGCAGAAAACCCACTGCAAAGTCGCATTATAACCTTTATGAAGGTAAGAAAATTACGCACGAGGTTAAACGAATAATACCTACACCGCCTTTGTTCCGTGTAGTGACATAACGTCGTTGCGCGTGCAAAACCGCTGAAGAACACTTTGTAAATACCGCGTAACAGCGTTTTCACGATTTTACAGGAAGAATAAAAAGCTTTATATCTTAGCCATTTAACTATATTTTACTGACTGAACTCTGTAGCTACTTCTTTGCGATTCACTTTGTAGAAAAATAACGTAACTTTACCCATAACTTGTTTAGAGTCCGGATAAAGTTACTAACGCGGTTTTGTAGTAAAAAATTACAGAAAAGGTAGTATACTGTTATTAGGTGCGCGGGATTGAAATGTAACATTCTAATTCATAAAGGTTTGATTTTATGACTAAAAAGCAAAAGCGACAGAGATTAAGGAGGCTTTTGCCCTTCTCTGGGACAGTACAGGGTCAAAATAATAATAAAAAAGTTTCTAAAACAAACATCTTCTTAAATCAAAAAAGTATTATCAGATAAACAATAAATTGTTACTGTTCGTAGTCAAATTATATAGAAATCTTTTTATAAGTAAGTAAAAAATAAAGTAAGTTCTCGTCATTAAAATGCTATTAAATTTTGTAGTTTGAAAATATGTAATTAAGAATAACAAAAAAAAGTCTCGTAAGCTTTCTGAAAATCACAGCAGCTTAATCTTGTTAAGCGTCTTGCACAAATATAATAAAAAGGTAATGTCTTCTTCTGTAGCCACTCTATTTTTTTTTTATTATAGTTTTACCCATATAAATACACAGCAGACGTACATGACTTTGCGTCATACCCCTGTCAGGCGTGCTTTACTTCAGGGAACTCGTCGAGCTGTGCTGATGCTGTAGTCGAGGTTTTGCGTTTGGGTATGGAATGTTACATACCATACTCTGATGTACCTAATGGACCCCAAGCTCGTCCATGGTTTAACGCTGATTGCAGTTGTGCTGAAGCACGTAAACAGTCCGCGTACCAAGCTTGGGCAGATGCTCGACTACGCAAAGCTCCGAGTACTCAGAATTTGAAGAAAGCTTTTAATAAGGCAACCAAGAAGTGCAAAAGTGTGTTACGTAGGGCTAAGTGCGACCATGTGCGCCGCATAGGGGTCAAGCTTGCCTCTTATCCAGCACGCAGCAAATCCTTTTGGTCCCTGGCCATCTTTGCCACCTCTGCTGAGGCCGCATGGCTCGCTGGCTCATACTGCGGAAGAGAAAGCGCATCTTTTTGCCTCATTCTTTGCAGAGAGTTCGCGTTTGGATGCCGCAGGGAACCTACCACCTACTTTACCTCAGTCTGGCTGCACTATGTCGCCACTTCGCCAAAACGAGGTACTTAGAACTCTGCGAAATCTAGAAATAAATGAAGCTAGCGGGCCAGATGGAATTCCAGCAATAATCCTGCGTAACTGTGCGCCTGAGTTGTCTCCTGTTCTCACACGCCTGCACCGCTTCTCACTTGAGGCTGGTGTAGTTCCCAGGTCGTGGAAGCTTGAAAACGTGCAACCTGTGCCGAAAAAGGGAAGCAGAGCTGACCCTGTCACCTATCTTAGTCACTTCCATACTCTGCACAACGCGTAAAAGACATGGAACGTGTAAGTACGTGTACTCAACAACCATCTCCTGTCGTACCTTGAAGGCAACGACCTCCTTAGTGATCGCCAGTATGGATTCCGACGAGGGCGATCTACTGGGGATTTTCTTGTGTGTGCCTGCCACATATGGAGCGAGGCTATAGAAAAGGCGAATCACTTGCAGTGTCTTTACACATTTCTAAAGCCTTTGACAGGGTCTGGCACGCAAGCCTTTTAAGTAAGCTTCCCTCTTATGTACTTCCCACTGACCTTTGCAATTGGATCTCGGATTTCTTGAGTGAACGTTAGATTCGAGTGGTCTTAGAAGGCTACTCTTCCGAACATATAGCGATAGATAGAGAGTTCCTCAGGGTCCGTACTGTCTGCAATTCTCTTTCTGCTGCATATTAATGATATGTTAATTTCAGGTACCTTTGCGTATGCTGACGACAGCACAGTCGTCGGTAGGTGCTTGACCAATGCGAGGGTCAGTGGAGAGGACACCCAGTCTTATCGAGACTCCATGCTTGGTCGTTTGGATTTGACACTTAAGTCGGTCTCAGACTGGGGCGATGCCAATCTTTTCAAATTTAATGCTACCAAAACGCAGGCGTGTCTATTCTCGACAAAACTTTGAGCTGACTCCGACTTTTCGTGATATATCCATACCGATACCCGACTGTCTCCACTTATTTTTCTTTTTATCATTAACTTTCAAATAATAAATTTTAACATTACTTCGTCTTGATGAATTTGATCTCTTAGTTCTCCACCTCTTAGGTTTCGTGCAGGGATCCTGTTATAACTTCTTCATTAATTTGGTAAATACGCGGACTTGCGGCCAATTTCAGCAATGCTACTGTTTCGCGGTATTGTTTCGATGCCAAAAATGAGGTTTCTTAGAGGCTAATTCAAATTCTGTGAGATCTAGCTTAAGCGAATTAGCGTTAAGGATCTGTTGGCGCGATATTTCAATTTTGTACCTTTTGCTATTACGCGATATTTACAAACTGCTCTTCCGCGATTTTGCACACGCAACAACGATAAGCTACATTAAGGCATGTACGCTTCACCTAATACTAAAATTACATTCATATTATTATCTAAGTAATTATAGGTCTCGGTGAGAGTCTGACTACATCATGTCATTTAATGAAAGTGCAATTAACGTTTATTATACGAGCGAAATATAGACTCATCCTTAAATATGTTACTCATAAATACAGACAAGTTTTGCTAAAATCAACTTACACAAACTTGTATCTTTTAGAATATCCATGATGCCATCATCCTGAAAACATGGAAAAAAATATATGTAGGTAGTATTTCTTTGTAGCCAAAAGTACATACATAATATTTTGTTGACGCTACTGTAGCTTTGAATTTATCTTCTTAATATCCATTGTTTACGTTGTATACACAGTGGCGTAGCGTGGGAATGCAGAAGGGCCATAGTCCCGGGCGGCATTGCATCGGGGCGGCGGCGAGGCCTAACTAGTCAAAATTTTTAATTATTTATAATTAGAAAATAAACTCCACATGAACAACACAAAGGTGGCGACGGTAGGCTACCATAAAAACACAATCGAGCCGACCCTGCTTCAACGAACTACTTTTTTGTAATCGTGAAAATAGAATCAGTAATATTTTATATTTTAACAAGTACAAAAGTATAAATAAAATATAAATAATTTTTTTAGTTGGAGATTTCCTGCGTCATGACGCATTTTCGCGAATAACAAATTCGAGAAAATTCCTTTGTGAAGAAATTTTTCATTGTAAATTGATGACATATAATTATATTCATACATTGTAAATCCGTGTAATAAATAACTCATTCCTAGCACATAATAATATATAGTATCGTATGTGGCCACTAAATGGTATTGTATTGTACAGAATATAGTTGACAAATAGATGGAACTATTCACAATTGTATAAATACTGCAATTGTTGAATTGCACTATCTGATATTGCAATTGTTCAATTGCATTATCATTATATGCAGTTTAATTCAAAAGATTGGTGTACAACCAAATGTAGATCTATCTGTTTTATTGTAGATCGTTAAAATAATTATTCACACTTCTAATTTTAAGTATTTGTATTTGAATGTAGAATTTTGACCTAATATTTTCATCAGTTCATCGCTACATCCCACCCTGCTACTAAAAAGTAGGGTTGAGTGGAGGGACGGGGTGGCGGAATCGGCCGGTGCTCAGTCGAGTGGTGTGGTGTTCAACAAAGAGAATGTAATCACTACGTTCAAGAGTCCGAAAGGCTAGACAAGTAAATGACTTATATAATGTGATTGTACTACATTGTTTAAGGAACCTGTGATCAGTTACTGAAAAATATAGTAATATTTCCTATCAACTTGGTATTATTCCACGTCCACAAGTACCGCTGCAACATTTGCGAATAGAAATACTTTTGATACTCCATTAACCAGTAGCTATATGATCTGAGCTTACGTTACACCTCGTAACGTAATCATCCCACTCGTTACCGTGTAATATAATTCATTTATGTATGTGAGAACGTAATTACAGCTAAAATCATCCTTTTTTCTGGACGAAAGTAATGAATAGTAATATAATGTAGGTTTTATATATGCGTGGTATGAGTGCCTATAAAAACTTAGTCTCCGTTGTATATTTATGTATTACCTAAGTACATTAACATAAGTATTTGTAGGCATCTGTGGTCGAGCGGCTTGCACACCGGTTTTCATGGTGTCGCCATCTCTGAGGTCCCGAGTGTAGAAAACTAACTTTTCTATATTGTCTCGGGTTCGGGGTACCGTCTTTCTGTTTGTGGTACCGTCATTGTTTCCGATACTCATAACACAAGTGCTTTAGGTACTTACTTTGGGATCAGAGCCAGGTATGTGATGTTGTCTAATATTTTATTGATTTATTCAAATAAGCCTGTTTAATACACAGCGGCACCAAAAACTAAACCGACACAACTGAACAAGTAAATAACATTGATTGCACCGAATGATAGGTAGACATTATTATTTTTAAGTTTATCCTATCTTGCCAGATTGCTTGAAAAAGATTATAAACCAGCTATAAGGCCGCCTGTTGAACCCTGTTGTTGTTTGTTTCTGTATTTTGTTCTTCGTGTGTAGAATAATATAAAAGGTATTTGAATTATTATTCGATAGTATATATTTCTAAATTATGTATAAATTATAAACCTGAATTTTCATTATTTTAAAATTTTACGTAATTAGTTATTCAATTATTTTTTGTGAAATTATTCCACTTGTTTGTTTTCATTTTTAAATACAGTCTCTGGAACATTTCGCGGAATAAAACAAAATGATATATAAAGCAGTCGGTTTTATTTAAATAAATAAATAACGTTTCGATACAAACTACAAATTAAATTGACATCTTGTAAAACTTGTAATTAAACAAAATACTTATATTTTTTTAAATTTCGTTGCAAAGCAGAAACAACTGAAAATTGTAACAATTTAACTTTGAACATATCCAATCTTTCACAAATAAAAACGTCTAACCACTTTTAGCAGGATGTTACAACAAATTATACTGAAAAAATTACAGTAGACTAATTTTTATTTTCAAATTAGCCTAAAAATAAAGTAAATTAAAAGGACCTTTTGAAAAACTGCATTGTTTATGGGAATTTTACTGTGTTCCTCTAAATTTGTCAATATGTGTAAGTATGTTTAACACGTAAGACATATAAAAACCAATAATAATTACAGAAGAAACGTAAACACTAACTTGTGATTTGTTTGAGGCAGCAGAGCATAACACGTTATGTAGGTTCTAAATGATAGTTTCCCAAAGTGGTCCCTACCCCCTCCATACCCCCCGTTGGCGCTGAAGAGTTCTAGGGGGGTGGTAGGGTTCTCGGAAGTAATTGGGGAAGTTCATGCTGCCCATGGGATGCTACCGCATTTGAAAAAAAAACTGAATTATCTATATATAAACTATACTACATACATTCTTTTTCCTTGTGATTTTTTGTGTTAAGTTAATAATTATAAAAAATACGTGTTTCCAAATATTTTTTATGGTGCCCACGCGTTGAAATTTTTTTTATCTTGCCTAAGTGGGCGGTGAGCCAAAAAGTTTGGGAACCTATTGCCTAACTCATAAATTTTTAACAAATTACTTATTAGGATGATGTTCAAAATATATATAAGCACACAATTAGACTAATCCATTAATTATAAAATGCAAACTATACAGTACTAATGCATAGAACCTCTGAAACGCTGGCTAGAACATAGTACCGTAATTATGATTAAAGATATGTTCCATTTGCCACATATTCACTTAGAACAACCAGTTGAACTTAATTATGTAGAATATAAATCATATATATAAAGAATATTAGCAAGTTCATGCTATTTTTAATTATAATACGCAGCAGAGTGTTACTTACTTAGTGTGTATATAGGTGATTTTAGTCTTCAGACCCACGGTTATAAGATTCCACAGAGCAAAGGCGCTAAATAATCATATTATAATATCAAAGGAAAAGCTATCTGCATTATCCCACAACATCACACGTGCAAATTGACAGAATGAAAAGGAAATGTTTTTATTTCTTGCGTAAAACAATGTACGCTTCACCTACTTACTGTATAATGAATACTTCAAAAGACGTTCGTGATTGTTATTTTTTTGTATACGGAAAGATAAATGCTTTCGTAAGTAACTAAACAACAGAGTTCATAAAAAAACGTACACAGTTTTCGCTTCTTTGTAAGAATGATATGTGCTAAATTTGATTGCGAATAAAACACTGAGTTCCTTTAGTTAAAATGATCATGTGATATATTGTGCCGGTTGTATTTAAACTTTGTGGGGAAAAAAGTGGTCGAAATTTTTTAATTGTATTTGCAACCAATGCCTTAGTATCAACATCGTTCCTATTACGAAAAATTGCGATCTCAGAATCCACAGCCAAATTTTGTATTGACATTTGATTCATTTTAGGAGGTAAATATGGTTTTACGACTTAACCTTCACTGGGTTCGCGGAGTAGCAAATAGATTTACTTACATTTTTTAAATTATTGTATACTTCGATAGATTATCTTTTATTTCCTATGAAGGGGAATACTGTTTTAACTCTAAGATAGTGTACAGGGCGTTTACACGGTTATGGGACACGTAGGGAAAGTACCTACTTTAGATACTGCAGATTTTTTTTTTAAATCTCCATCGTTACAGACTATTCTTAGTTCTACTTACCTATCTATTATTAAGTAACTTAAGTATTAACTTATATATTTTATAATATGTAATTGCACATGCCAACATCTGTTAGTCTGATTGCAGCAAAGGCTGGACTAGAATTCTATCAGTCTTCGTTCAGCTCTGACCCGGGTACATTCCACTAAAGCATGATAGGTGTCTTGTCTGGTGTAACAAATAGTACATTTCGGAGTGTCTACTAAGTACGTTACGAGAACAATTTCGTTATTCAAACTAAGGTCTATGTTGAGGCGTTTAGAGAATTTATTTATCTTATTTCGTTTCTGAAATATAAAATCGAACAACAGTCGATGTGACATCCACAGCGATGAAGAACGAACGAAATGTATTATGTCTTGAGAACAAGTAGTCTTGCACATAGATCTTTGTTCGACGGATAAGTCGATTCTGTATTTTCATGATGCCGGTCGAGAAGGTCAATTACACTCATTCGCTTATAAGTAACATCCTTATAAATAACATTACTTGTAAGTATCCTAATTTAAAGGAATGCCGTTCAATTTCATACAATTTATAAAAAAATTAAATCTTTGTATGCCGCATGACGGATCACTGTGATTCAAAATGCATTCTTGTAATTGCCTTACAGATATAAATTCCCATTCACTGTAGTTTACCGGATAATTTGTAAAATTTTAGAAAAAGTAAAACAGTTCAAATTAACTGTTTGTATTTTCAGTGTCCGTTCTGTATCTATACTTAATATCCCTAATAAAAACGTCTATCGTACATAGGAAACTATTTCCTCTACGTACCGGACTCGAAGCCTCTCCACGCGAAGTTCCACTCCACGTATATACTATATATGTGGAAGTGACTTCATGGTACGTAAATAGGCGGCTGACTGGCACCAAACAAAGGAAGAAAATACACCTGCTTACGATATTTCATATTGTATTATTTCATATTATGCGACAATACACACTAACTCGCCAAATTGAGTTTATGTGCTCAATATTTCATGTGAAACTATACATTTCTACGTGAGTAGAGAGCTATACCTAAGAATTCAAACATGATTTGAATAACACGATGTACATGATATAAGTGTTCATTTTTACCCTCGGATGTTGTACAACAAATATGAGAAAAATGTCGTAATGCGATAGGTCGCCGTGGACTTTCAAGCAGTAAAAAAAACCAATCGCTGTTTACTGGTGTAGATGAAATATCCGCAAAAGTATGTGTATGATGTTATTTCCCTCCTCTGACCTATATTTTGAGTCCATGTCTTGAACAAGGGTTAACAAAGAGTTAAAAAAAACACTAAAAACTTTCCAAAAAATAGGTGATAACTTCGATTTAGGGAACTACGGGCCTAGCTACCTTAATTCCAGTACTGTGTAACATTTTTGAAAAGGTAACATTTAATAATCTATACTCATGTCTAGAAAAAATAATATTTTGGTAGACCAACAGAAAGGTTTTCGTGGGAATAAGTCCATAAATTCAGCTATCTACGAATTTCTCGATAAATTAAACTCTATGATGGATAGAGGTCACTCGTTTTATCATTGTACATGGATCTAACTAAGACAATTGATAAATATATCATTCTTTGTAAAAATCATGGGTATACAAAGCAAAGGCCAGGAACTAATAAAATCCTACCTTAAAAATAGATTTCAGTCAACTTACATATATACCTAAGCAAAGTGCGTCCTGTAATTAAAATTGATAAGTTTTATGCATCAACACCATAAAACAAGTTTTCGGAGCAAGGACAATTTGTTCAAGTGGGGATTTTCGGATGGTTCTAAACTGCACTGTCTGTGCGGTGCGATTCAAATGATGGCCTATCTCATATCGCGTCCAGTGTGCCCTAACACTTGCAAATTTGAGGATTTAATGGCGGCTACTAGTGACGCGGTCGGCGTGGCTGAGTTCTGAGCCACAAATTCAAATTCAAAATCCTTAAGTCTGAGCCACAATAGTATAATGTATGTCATCGATACGACAAGAAGAAGAACAGAACAATAAATAAGATCAACAAAGAGAATGCGGACCATTGTTATCCTTAATACATGTTTATATACATATACACATGTATTAAGGATAACAATATATATATATATATATATATATATATATATGTCATTCCTATGGAATGGCTGAAATATAATAACCTAGTTATACTTATCTGTGTTTCCCGAAAAGTACAATTTGGGGCTATTCAAGGCTAGAGTGAATATGCAATTTTTAGGCAAACGCGTACCATCGTCGGTCACATCGTCGCATATCATCAGGTCAGATTGTGGCCCAACGTGTGTCTATTATTTATAAAAAAAATACATTACGATAAAACAAAATTTATGAACATTAAACAAAGAAATTATAAGAGTAGTCCATGACAGCAAGGATGTCGATGGTGAGGGTTTAGGTTTATATATAGATAATAATCTAAAATAGCAAACAAGGCTATCGAAAATTGTAAACTTAAACGCTATTGTGACGCCTACCATATGTAACAAACACATAGCAACCAACCGAAGAGCGGTTACACACGGTAACTTTTAGCAACGATGTAAATGCGATGCAGTCGCCAATCGTTTACCTATACCATGGACCAATTGGTCCATGCCTATACACACACGCGCGCGATTTTAAGCAGCGATGCAAGCGCGGTTCAATACAAACGCGCGGTTGCATCGACGCAATCGCCTATAAATCGCAAGTGTAGCGATGCAATCGCCATGTGTAACCACTCTTAGGTATGGCATATAATTATGTATTCTGGAGAAATGTACCGAACATTGAGCACAAAATATCCAAAGCTCAAAAGAGATGTACTCGGGTTATAGGCGTCTTGAAAAAACAACTAGTTGTCGACCACATTTAAAAAATTTGAAAATAATGACTATCATCCTTAAAAACATTTGAAATTTTCACTTTTCGTTAAGTGTCATCCTAATTTATTTCCATTCGTTACGTGGGCACGCCGGCCGTTATGATCAACTGAAGGAGCGCCGGCCGTTATGATCAACTGAAAGCTAGACCTAAAACTGCTCCACTTCAAAAGTATAACTATAATGGCTACAAAGATCTACAACAAACTTCCACGTGAAATTACTAACTGCAATAAATGTGCAGTCTTAGAATAATAACGCAGTATACAGCTCGATCTTACATGCACATAGTTTTTAACATATTGATCAAAATATGCAGCATGTATAGTTTCGCTTTTATCTCAAAGTTTAAGGCTCAAAATGTCAAATAATAATTTATTAATAATTTATATTTTAATTCAGTGGCTTACGAAAAAGTTAAGCTATTATGCAAAAGAAAAAATAAAGTAGACAGATTTTTTCATAGCGAACAATCTCAAATGTTTTGCATGGTGTGGGTGTGACACGTGTCACACATTTACAAGATTTGGAACCGTCGGCGCGCGAATCGCAATTAAATTATTTTTTTCTACTCCTATACTTTAATCTGTCAAATTAATTTAAGAGACCATATCACAAAGGAGCTTTTTTTAGTTCTGAATTAAAATTCTATTGTCTATGGTACTTTCTAATGAACTGAAAAATTTCATTACAGTTCTTACGGATCGATGAGTCTCAAAACTACTGCCTCCTGATTGGTAAATTGACCTAAAGGTCTTGCAACCGGGCTATGAGCCTTTGTAAAAAAATGATTGATTAGAATGTAAACCGTTCTTGGCCACTTCTATTCTATCTTTTTGGTTTTTTATTTTGTAGCGTTTGTTTGGTTTTTGTTTGAGTTTGTTGTCATGGATTGTTAACAAAATATACATACAAATATTGGTTGTGTTCCAGTCTTTTATTACTCGTATGCAATCATTACATAATTAGTTCTTAAAATCTCGTATCTATTAATTAGGCCATTCGGCAAATACGAACTCTCATTATGCAACGATTGCATAAAATACTATTTTAAATTTGTAGATTTAAGATTTTTCAGTTATGTGTTTACGACCTAAGTAAATTAATATTGATCACTCACTGGCTGTTCCTCTACAACGTGCTGCAGAAGGTTACGGAAAATTTGTGCGGGTAGGCTGCCCAGTACGTGGAGAGCTGCCAGTGCCCACAAGGGACAGTCCCCATCCGAACAGAACTTGAATTTCTGAAATTACAGTCATTACTAAATTCACTCTGTTATATGACAGGGCCACTATAATATTTAATTATTTTAAACAAGTATTCATAAAATTTATTATTATTTTCAAGTGACGGGACGAACAAGTCGTGCGCATGATGGTAAGCTACACGTCTGTCCATAACAGTTGCAGTGCCACTCAGAGCTTTAAATCGCAAAGATCTGAGAGGCACTGTCACTGCGTCTGTCACCCTGAGACAAAAGTTGACAAATCCCATGTGCCTGTAATTTCACCAACGGTATTAATAAGCATATTTATGGCCATTCATTTTATTCAAATTACGTAAACGTCACAGTTGTAGATGACCAAAAGTAAAGGGGAAAAAAACCACGAGTTAATTGAGAAACTGGCAGAAGTATGAACTTATATACAGTCAAAGACATAAACTACTACCACTAATTACTCCGTGATCACGGGTTGCCCGGCAAGCGGTAGTTGAGAACTTGAAGGACTGACATGTACATGCACGTACATGGCTGTACTAGCACGAAGTCTTTGACCATAACAAAAAACTATAACTAGAGGTAGTAACAGGGCTCGGATAAATATGCAGTATAAACATTGACTTACAATTATATGGACGTCGGGTCCGCGCTAAAAAGTGTCCGCACTTGTAAGGCGCTAAAATCGTATACAGAGCGCGACACTCCGCTTTAGTCTTCTTTTGTTCTACGGACAGCGCGATACTGCGATGACATAACAATTTAAATTTCGAATAGGTTGACTTGGGACATTTTTTTCGTGGTTTTTGTATTAGACCCGTCGTCCATTTATTTGTAAGTCAATGAGTATAAACTAAAAAAATCTTAAAATATGGAGATAAAATTACAACTGTTTTCACATAGACTACGCTTATTATAAAAAAACAACAAATTTGATTCCACATCAATCTAATTTTCGTTACTGTCATTGTTACAACACAATTACATGTTTTTAAATTTTCAAAATAAAAATTCTGTTTTTGGTCGGAAAAACGCTTTGTACCGGCGGAATGACCTTTCGGCATCTCAGAATATGACTGGAGCAAACTTAAATTTGCACAAGTCCGTAAGTGAGTAGGTCGCGTCTAGGCTGTCTTCTAATCATCGAGTATATAACCAGAAACAGATACGAAATAAGGGCCACACATCCCTGACAACTCAGCAGGCAAATGGGCCTTATATTACTTTTAAATATCAACTCTCGTTGGTACTGAACTCACAAATTAGAAAGCGCCAACAATTGACCTGTGTGTACGTCTTCGTATATTCCAAAAATATTCTGTATTTATTGTAATAAAGATAATATCTTTAACTATAGAGGGACTGTTCCATTCGGTGGTGTGGGAAAAACAGCAAAACATCTAATTACCAAACAAACGGAATCACATTTAGTCGGTAATTAAATATTAAATATGTAATTTTTAAATTTAAAATTTTCGTCTATTATAGCAAGCTCAAGTTAAAAGTTTTTTTTTTTTTTTCTTTTTTGGCCTTTCGCGGTCAGCGTTGAAGCCAATGACAAGATAAATTAACTTCATTTAAAAACAGGGAAACCTTTTCGTATGTTAAGGAATTTTGGAAACGGATTTAGGAAAAAAACGGATCGGGAGAGGAATTTCATGTTAGGAAATTTGTAGAACAGACAATAAATAATAATAATAATATTATATTAATGATATAAGAACTGTCTAAATTTTTATATTGTTTTCTACAATAAAGTTACATAAATGCTTATAAATATGTGAATCATTACATGATAACAGTACCGAAATGGACGTAGGAAAGTTAAAAGTTAAAAGTCGATTTCAAGTGAAACAATTGACGACACCCGTCAATTGTTTCGAATTGGGGCTGGCCAATCGGAACGCAGTTGTCACCGTAATGATATGGCAGAATAGTTTTCAAACAAAATAAATGGCATTTCGCCTTTATTTTTGTTTATGTACTCGAGGCTTCTAATCTTCCGCACAGAACAATGTTACTTATTTTTAGTGTATGAAAACCCTTATTTTTTTCAAGCATGTTGCCTAATTAAATTAAATATCACGTAATATTGAAAATACGGATTATTGCAAGTTTCGTGTAGAAATATGGTCTAAACCTGTAAATATAGAAAAATATGGTCTTCCAAAAAGTTTTTTTTTTTATTCTACATATCATTACTTATATAGGAAACGAATTAAAGAACGTTAATTATTGAAATAAAATTATGTAATTACATATTAATCCGGGCCTTAGTAATAGTCGTTTATCAACGATTTTTTAAGATGTATAACGTCCACAAACTTAACAGTGTAGATATCAAGTGCGTAGTAAGTACTTACCATAACTAAACGTTTAGTAGAGACTCAAAAGCTCTGAAACAAATACGACGACACATGGTTATAAAATTATCATAGGAATTAGATGGTTGGTTGCAAATTATTAGTTGTAACATACAGACATGAATGTTGATTGCTATACGGTTCGTGAAGTTTTAGATTTTGTTAACTGACTTGTAACTTGTAAAGTACAATCGTATCATTCGTATGTCAGCAACAGAATTCAAATAACAGGTCAAGCGATTAAGACAGTTAATAATTAGAACTAAGCAAAATATACATTTGGTAGCTAACACTATTCATATTATCCAACGTATTGGACTAAGTGTACTGTCGTTTCTATTGTCGGACGATTACTATGTAGAAACTGCTAAAGCTAAAATACGAAATTTTGACTATAGCTTCCTTTTAGATGTATTGTAGCACCGAATAATAAGAGATATTTCCGCTTCTTGAATTTTTAGTATAGAAATTCTACACTACTGAAATAAGAAACAAGAAAAAATACGTCTTTCATTGTTTTTTTTTTTTGAAAAGCAACTGTTATATAGGGGATGAAATTTTGTATGGGTATACCGTAATTAGAAACGTGAATTTTCACGTTTCATTTCACATTTTCTTTTTTAAGCTCTCTGTTGAAAATAATTACATAACCATTAGAATGTTTTTTTAATTTATGTTAAAGAGGGTAAATAGCAGATGAAAAATTTTGTAGTTCAGTATCTCATAAATAAGTAAGTTTACGTCACACTTAAAAAATTAATAATTAATCATTTAAATTTCTTAATTTTTTACATATTGACAAGAATGTGTAAAAAGACCATGGTCGCAGTTCATAAGTGGATATATCTGAAATAATTCAGACTGATGTTTCGGTCTGGTTGAATGTAGGTACAGTTCTTTAGAAAATGTTCATATGTAATCTAATAAGGTAGAGGGTTCCTCTACCTTATTAGATCATGGCCGCCAGTTGTCAAAATTAAACTGACGTTTTCAATTTCGAAAGTGAAAATTTTGAAAGTGAAAAAAGAAAATAGCGTTTCCTTATTTTTGGCGGTATATTTCAAAAATGTTCTTGATTGGTGTACTATCCATCACCGGTTTTACTACAATATGTTTGAAAGACTTTTTTAAAACGCGAAATATCTACAACTGTCTCTGCTAAGAATGAACTTGTATTCATACCGCGAACTCCACTTATGCCAGGCGATAGCCACTTGATATTAAAAACTTACAGTTCCCCTAAAAGCATGTTTTGTAATATCAATTACTAAATCCCTGGGCTAACGTTAAAAGCAACAGGAATACGGTTACGGGAGAACAATTCTCGAATGGACAGTTTTATGTTGCATGCTCTACAGTCAGCTCTCCTGGGAATCTGACGACGAGGTAGAGTTTCAAATGTTGTTATTAAAGAAAATATTCAGCTGTTTACAATGAATGCATGGTTATTCACAAACATACGCACAAAAACGCGTACTTATTCCACGTTACAGTGTTTTGTAATACCGAATTATGTAACATCTTTTTCTTTCAAATTCGGTGTGACAAATATGTACAGTTTCAGCGGAAACATTATTTGATTATTGAGCAATTTTCGCCCGTATAAGCATAAAAATATTTATAAATTTATAATTTATATTATTTAAAAATATTTATAATAAATTTAGAATTAGTAATGGTCGGAAAAAGGCGTTCCACATATATGTATATATATATATCTATACATGGTGTAAATCTGAGACGGGGCAGCAAGGCCAGCCACCTAAAACGTTGTAGTTACAGGAAAACGGTTCTAGAAGACTATCCATGAATTTTGAAGATATTTTGATTGGCATTCACAGATTTTGAAATAATGGTACAGTTAGCAAGATAAAAGGCAATTTTTACAAAACTTTTTTTATGCCATTCGATCCGGTCTCTGTTAAGAATCAATAGTCTCTATGGGACCAACTGAGGTAAGAGTACTCGAAATGTCAGAAATCACAAAAAACTTTTTACCATACATTTTGTGGGGACATATTCAGTTATTAGTTTCAGTAGGTTAAGGACACTATATAACTTACACATTATTGAATTCTCGTTCTCAAAAAAATTTGAATAAAAAATAATATTATTGAATTGAAGTAATTATGTTTAAACTCGTAACTCTATACTAACGGATATAGATATTTACCTACATACATCTATACACAGATATATGTAATTATAATTTTCTATTAGTATTTCATATTAAATAATTTAAAGAAGGTCGTCAATAATCTCAGTACAGAGTACTAAAAAAGCCGACCTCAAAAGTACGTGGAATTACATATCATTATCAAGTTTTATTGAAATCGGTTACCGAAAAGTGTGCAAACCCAGATTCAGTATATTGAGATAAAAACGCGTTGAATTGGAGAATAGCAAAATAAACCATTAAAATAATTGCTCCTTATAATAAAATTTAGGCGCTATTTATAAAAATGAATCTTCATGCGTGAACAGCCATCCTTAGAGCTCGATGATTTTCTTCAAAATTAAATGGAACCACTATGGAGGTACTGTCTTTCTAACAAAAAAAGAATAATCAAAATCGGTTCACAAATACCGGAGTTATCGCGTAACATACATACAAAAAAACATACAGTCGAATTGAGAACCTCCTTCTTTTTTTGAAATAGGTTAAAAATATCATTGAAGTATTCTGTAACACTGTCGTAACTCTTATCAATTAAAAAAGTTATACGTTGTCTTTGAAAAGCTTTGGAATCCTGAGTACATTTTATGCTGCTCGGGCATCGATTATGCACTCGGCGTGTTCGGGAGATCGTTATTATTTTTATTAACATTGGGTGGGAACCCGACGAATATAATTCTATTTTTGAGAAAGGTTTTACTGTTTTTAGCGACGAATTTACAAGCTTCAAATATGTATCTGCAAGTTATCGTTAGTATGTTAAATTTGCGAAAATAGTTTTTAAAAGATGTGATTTGGTCTATGTTTGCTAAAATTCTTATGCGTTTCTTTTGGAGAACAAAAACTTCCTGAACGACTGTGCAGTTTCCCCAAAGGATGATCCCGTAGGAGAGACTAGAGTGCGCATAAGCGTAGTAAGCTGCTAGTGCAGTTTTGTTATTCGGGGCTCGTTTCAATTTACTAAGGGCATATAAAAGATGATAATCTACATTGACAGTTTTAAAATGCGGTTCCCAAGTTATATGCTTATCGATCTCTATACCCCGCATGGTGGCCGAGTCTACAGTTTCAGTTTTTGTTAAATTGTATGAGAAATTTATGTCTAGTGGTGCTTTTTGGTAAGGTTTAAATTGGAGTAATTTTGTCTTTATAAGGTTTAACAGCAACTCGTTTATGTCCAGCCATTTTGTAGTATTATCCAATGCGAGGTTTAGGTCTCTTTGTAACGCGTGGGTGCCTTTACAAGTCAATACTATGGAAACATCGTCGGCAAACGGGACATAGAAATAACCCACATATGGTGGAAGGTCATTCATATAGACCAGGAAGAGAATAGAGCCCAACATACTTCCTTGATGTGGGCCTATTCGTCACTTGGAGCGTAGGCTTGTCACATTATTATTTTAGTTGTATCTACTACACATAATATGAAAGAAATAAGATTTATACAGTGTTCTCGTGCTGTAATGAAATCATCAATACAAACAAAGCTTTTGTTAAATGCAGTGCGTATTATATATTTTTATACCAGCATCGCGGATTGGTATCTCAATTATGGTACTATGACTACGAAATACATACATACATATATTTAGCCTGACTATGAAATAAAAATTAAATACTGAACAATTCTGAATTTGACGCGCTTTTGCTCAGTCGACCTATAAATAAACACATCTACCACTTGTTGTCATTTTTAAACATCAAGTCACCGCTTCATTTCTATTGAAGTGTGTGGACCCGCGCTATGCAATGCGAGTGTCGCGCGAGATTATGCGAATATATACAAATCTATGCGTATGTAGCAGGGTTGTTCTGAATATCAGCATTCGCATCCGTTGATGCGGATAATCTGCATAAATTTAAATATCCGCATCAGCGTCCGCATTCATCGATGCTGATATTCATTGCGGATTTTCGAGTTATGACATAACTATAAAAGCACGCTAGAATAATTTACGAACCTTCCAGAAACAGACTATAAGCCAAAGGAGCAGCTCAGCTGTTGTTTTTAAAACATAACTCTGATAAAATTCCACAACGATTAAGCTAAGCAGATTGATTGTATTCATGCAGATTGATTCTTTTGTTAATAAATGCCACAAAATAATTCAAATAATAATTTTTTACAAAAATAAAAACCCTGCATTGGAAAGAACCTGGTATGTAGTTTGTATGGAATGGACGAATTAAATATTCTTTATTGCACATTAAAAATTATAATGACAACATAGAACATTAATATAAGTATCACGGAGTAGACTAATGTACAACTTTGCCTTATTGCTAAGTAGCAATTTCTTCCCGCCAACCTCAGGATAGAAAACAGTTGGAAAAAGGCAGTGTAAGAATATCTTGTAATGAAAGTGTTTTAAATAATATGTACACTGCACTTCAATAAACTATATATAAAAATAAATACATAACTGACAAGTAAATACAGTTATAATATACTTAATATGGAGTTACACTATTTTGTCTTACTAAAAATTCTAAGAAAAATGTTTCCACATACTAAACGAACCTGCATCTGCTGTACGTTTTGTATGAGAAGTAATACAAGCAGTGTGATTTTCTAAAAGCTGTATATTAATGTATGAAATGCTGTACAAAGAGGTTTCGAGTTAAAAGTAATAATCTTGCATAAATTATATTGCCAACTGACCAAGTTTACTTAATAATTTCAGAACTCGATGAAGTTTTGACGGGAAGGGCAGGTGTTTTCTATCTACATCTGCACCTCTGTTTTCGTTTAATCAATGTAACGAGTGCCTTATTCCAGCGCCACCATCATCGAGTAGGTATTAAAATTTAAGTGGTGATGTAAAAAGACATTGTTTCGTCGCTTCTTGTCACA